ATGATCAAGACCATAACAAAAGTGTTATATAATGCACTTTGCAAAGCCAGAGAAAAAAACGTTCAAGAGATGATTGACCAGAGAAGACTAAAATAGTTTTGAGGAAGACAAACATTATTATGACTCATGAGTTCAGCTACGCCAAAAAAACAAACTAGGATAGTCAATGACATACTCAATCTGGTTAAAGCATGTATGGGCACTGGCCAGTACATTTTTGGTGCGGACATTAACCACAGAGACCTAAGAAAAGTCAAGATATACAGAAACAAAATTAGTATTCAATGTTGATAAAGTGGTTTTCAAAATAAAGAGGGATCAGCTGATGGCTAACCTTAGTAACACCTTTTGCACCTTGAAGGGTGCCAAACCTTTGAAAGGAGCCGGTTGCAAATTGTCACAGTTTAGCTGGTACCTCTTGACCAAAGGATAATCTGATGGCTATCCAGAACCATTAAGTGACAGTAGAATCACCTTGTTGGAATTGATGTATTTCAATATTTGCCATCCAATGCTCTACATTGATATCTAGTTCAAAGATCTTGGGGGATGATTCCATCAAATCCTTTCTTGGAGGCATTGATCTGCTCTTGGATAGAGACCGTCTATCAGATTTGGACTAGGAGTTGAATTTATTCTTGCTTGTTCTTGTTTGTCACTAGTAGAGATGGTCGTGGATAATCTGTTGCAGATATCTGTTATCCGCTGGTGGATACCTGCCAGTGCCAACGGATACCCGCCAGCGGTGTAAGACTCAAAATTGGTTGTGAAAACCTTTTGCTGAATGGAGAAGGGGATGGTGGAGTTGCAAGCTCTGCCCTTCTATGCTATCAGAGCAACAAGACCACCAAGCTTAGCATGGCAGTTATATTTATCGTGATAGAGGATAGTTTGAGATGAAGCTGTTGAATGATTCGTATAATGGTTAAAGTTGATGGTGATTGTTGGTGATGATGTTGATGTTGATGAGGTTACGGTTGGTAGAAGTGGTGATGGTAATATTTTTGAGAGTGAGGCTTGAATGCACAACCTCAAGGTTGATGGTATATAAAGTTAAAAAGAGGTGAATTGAAGACCAAGGCACAGGTGCTGGGAGCACTATGCTTCAACCAGGAATGGGACAGGGAGCCGGGCACTTGATGTGATGATGATATGAAAATGTTATAAGTATATTGCAATAAAAATAAGGGTGGTTATATGACTGTGACTGGTAATATAATGGGTGGTAAGTACAAAGGTGGGTTGAGATGATCTGGTCCACTGGTGGGATGATGAAAAGTACAACTGGCAGGCAGAGGCCTCCTTATATAGACAAAAGTGAGGGATTTTAGCTTCAGGGTACAAGGATATGAGGCATTTTAGCTGGCCTGTAAATATAAGTGAGGTAATTTAGCTGGTCTAGTACATGCAGGTGAGGGATGTTAGCCAGTGAGAGCCAGCCTTGAGGGATTGGGGCTGGTGGGAATCATCTGAGGGAATTTAGCTAGTGGAAAATCCAACAAGGGAATTTAGCTGGTGGGAGCACAGCCTTGAGGGAATTTGGCTAGCCTACAAGTTCCTACTACAAGGGAATGCATGTGCACCTACAAAGGAATTCAATATGAAATATGAGCTAGTAAAGGAATTCAGTATGGAACAAAGGAATTCAATATGAAATATGCATCCAGTATTCAAAATGAGATGTGGTCAGAATAATAATAAAGAAAAAACTCCAGTGACAGCTTGAGGTAAGTGTAACTTCTCAACTAGTAGAGATAAGAGGGTAGTCGTAGTGAGCGATTGGGGTTATTTTACCTGAGAAATCCATTTCTGATGTTATTTTTACCTTATATTTAATTTATAAGGAGATAAGAATGAATCTTTATATTTTTGGTGTAGAAACACAGGAATAATTACCACAGCGGGTGCGAATTTGGGTGAGGATGTCCGCTTCCCCCTGAAATCCTGGCAGATATCTGGGTATCCCAAGGGATACCTGGTGCCAAGAGACTGAAATAATGGATTTTTTTTCACAAAAAAAAGAGAGAAAAAAACCTTCCCCCCCCCCCTTGACCTAGAGAAGCAGAGGCCACACCGCTGTGGTAAGACCAATCAAAACCTGTTACACTTTTCTACCACCTTTCTGGACCATCTTCACACCTTCTACCTATCATAACACCCCTCAAATCAACATCCTACATATGTAATACACTCTTGGCCACCTTCAATCATCCCACAGACACTTCCATCAGAACCACAAAGTCCAACAAGCCATCAGTAACACTCCACATGGATTACCAGCCACACTTAGTAATAAAATAAGTACAAATCAGGTAAAAAGTGGGAGAAAGTCCACCAGCAGAGAGAGCCAGACTATTGGGAAAGACCCTTGTTCCTCATCATCCTTGTTTCTCTTTATCACATACCATGGCAGTTTGTTACAGCTGCTACATATGTCATCTTTCATCCTTGTTGCCTCAGCCTTGTTTTCCCCATGCTACATATGTCATTCCCAAGCCTGTCTCTTAAGCCATGTTGTTGCCTTGTTACATTTACCCTGTGATGATTCCTTGCTCCTTGTTTTCTTATTCCCCCCAGAAGACTTATATGTAGTGCTCTCTTGGCCCTTGCCATTTGTTCCCCATCAGAGTTGTCATTATTACTCCCTGGTCATTGATTTAGCATTACTTACTTGGAATATATTTAGCATTACAGACTTGAGACATTTTAAACAGAATTATTATCCTCATACCTTACCCTTACAAATCTTACATCTTCATTAGCCACACCTTTCTTTAAGAGTCCATACTCTTATTTCTTGTTCTTCTTACTCTCCCAGTAACCAGAGAGGCAGCCCTTCAAGCATTCATCCCTCTCTAAGCTCTATTCCTCCCAAGAGTAGTTCCACACCGCCGGGAGGAATCCCTCCCAGCAACCTGTTCTGTGTACCAGCTTGTTGGGAGGGGTTCCTCCCAAAGAGAGGGTATGTACACCAGCTTGTTGGAAGGAATCCTTTTTAGCGATCTGGTATTTATCCCAGCTTGTCGGGAGGAATCCCTCCTGGAGAGCTGGTACGCAATCCAGATTTACGGTGTGAGAACTCCTTTGGGATGGGTTGGCAGTCCTTGAGGGGGAAATAACAATATGATATTTCACTAGATAATATTTACTGTTACGGGTGGTTTGAAAGACCTGCCCCTCTATTTACTACACAAGAATTCTGACAACAATTTAATTTATTGTTGTGGCGTAACTTTATGATGGAGAAAACTTATATGTAGTAGTCTCTATCAGACCTAGATCAGTATGTAATACAATACAAGATGGTTGTACAACCTTTACACGGTGAATATGAGTTGTGAAAACAATCCAAGTGGAATATTTTATGGGGTTTTATGGTTTTTACAGTGATTCTGGATAAGTAGTGAAACTGTTGGTAGTTGTTGTTGAGGTTGGTGTTGGTGTTGTTGTTGTTGTTACTGGTGTTGACTAGACTTTAATGTTGAAGGTGTTTGTGTTGATGACCACTGAGCTAGCTGGGTACTGTGCTGGCTGGGTGATGATGGGGGAAATTGGTGAAGGAGAGGCCTCCTTATATTTTCTTTTCTGAGTTATTTTTGCTGGTGGTGATGCAGTTGAGGTGATTTTGCTGGTGGTGACTTTGTGGATTGCACTGCCTCCTGCAAAGAGTACATACATTGAGCTAATTATGCTGTGTAAATAACTAAATATGATACTACTGTATGTAAGGATTGCATAAATGGTTGCACTGCCTGGTGGAGGTTTTCTGTCCACATGTATTTATGCAATGTCTGTGTGCATTCAATTGAGTTACCAAGTGGAGGCCCAATGGTTGCGCATATGCATGCAAGAGTTGCATAACTGCTCTGCACTACTGGTGGAGGCCTGCTGATGTAATAATCTATGTTTATGTACTTATATATGTGTGGTATTGTAAACTACTATTAAATACTAATTAATGACTAGTTATGGTATGGCTTTAACCTTTATATTGGATTATCTTCTAAACTAATTAATAGAGATAGAGGTATAGTTGTAGTGAGTGACTATGGGTAAAATTGTATTGAGATTCTGATTATGCAATAATATATTCATATGTGTAAGTGGTTTAGGTTATAAGGTAGGGGTTTTGGCAGTTTTGTTGCGCACAACAGCCTGGACCACCACACCAGGAGGGATTCCTCCCAACAAGCTGGTGTACAGTGCCTAGACAGTGAAAAGTGGCTGCTTATTTTGGATTCCAGAGCTCCAAAACAAAAATTTGAAATCATGAGACTTAGTCAGGTGGTGCATAATAGGTACCAAAAAATGAATATGAAATAATAAAAGCAAAAAATAAAGTTTCAAAATTTGTGAAAAATAAAAAATAAAAATGTTTTTTTTCAAAAGCTTTGATAATCATTTTGGGGGAGTGGGAGTGCTGAGAGAAAGAAAGATTAGGAAATGAGAAGAATGATTATAAATGAAAATTTTGGAAAAACTGGTTTTCAGATGGCTTCAAACAGCTGTTGAGTGGGGCATTCACCAGCCCACATTGCAGCAAAGCACTAGAATTTACTGTTTTGGCTCCAATCTGGACCACCAACCTGGCTAAACCTTTTTTGGTTCCAATTTTTTCATTTATAATCATTCTTCCCCTGTTTCATTCTTTCTTTCTCTCAGCACTCCCCACTCCCCCCAAAATGAATATCAAAGCTTTTGAAAAAAAATCAAGTTTATTTTTTATTTTTCACAAATTTTCGAAATTTATTTTTTGCTTTTATTATTTCATATTCATTTTTGAGGACCTATTATGCACCACCTGACCAAGTCTCATGACTTCAAGTTTGGGCTTCAGAGCTCTGGAATCCAAAATAAGCAGCCACTTTTCACTGTCTACCCACTGCACATACCAGCTTGTTGGAAGAAATACCTTCCGACGAGCTGGGATAAATAGACCGACTTCCGAGGCCGTCCAATACTTCCAAGAGCTGGGATTTCTACATTCTCCAAACCAGCCAATGGTGGACTTCCTCTGCTCATTGACTAACCCTTTGACAGCCAAGGCCCGCTCAGAGGCTGCTCATGAGGTGCCTCAGACTCCAGCCGAGTTTATCGCTGCTTTCAGATGCTCAAAGCACTTCTTCAATCTCAATCTAGAAATGATACAGTATGACAGTAGCTACCCATTGTCAGGAGCTGCCCAACACATCATCTACTTGGTGCCTGCCGAGAAAGATTCTTTTGTCCGGGCAAGGTTGCCTTGGAGTTGGACGTTGTCAACCAGTAAAAGGGCGGGTATCTGTGGATATCCATGCAGATACCTGCCAGCGCCAGCGGATGTGGATGCCTGATTCCGCTGAAATTGCAGGCGGATATCCGGTGTAAGACTCAAAAAGTGATTGTAAGATCCTTTTTGCTGAATGGAGAAAGGGATGAAATGAGCTGCAAACTCTGCCTTTCTATGTTATCAGAAAACAAGACCACCAAGGTAAGCTTGGCAGTTTGGTTAGTGATAATGGATTATGTTCAAAGATGGTTGTATAATTGTTGAAGGTTGATCTTGTTGTCCAAAGAATTGATTGAGTTGTTGATGTTGTTCTCGTCTTGATGTCTTGATGCTGTATATGTGTAATGTAATAGAGTTGGTTCTTGAACCCAAACAAACTGGGAGCACTTTGCTTCAACCAGGACTGGAACACAGGACTGGCTCTTCTGTGTAATGTTTGTGAAATGGTCTGTGTATATATTTCAATCTGTGAACTGTACTACTTGTGAACTTCTTGTGTAATAAATATCTGTGACAGGTGTCCCACAATAAATGTGTACTGAGTGGGATGAGGAGGAAAACAACTGGCAGGCAGAGGCCTCCTTATATAGTAAATTATGAGGGATTTTAGCTGCCCTATCCTTGAAAATCCTGAGGGATTTTGGCTAGACTATCTACAACGCATCCCTTTTATATGTAAGCTGTAAGAAAGGAATTCATGTGTTCTGTGGCTGAATAAATGGGAATTTAACTGGTACAGCTGGTGGCCAACTTGTGGTTCTGTAAGTATAAAGGGAATTCATTATGCATAAAAGGAATTCAATATGCATTATGCAATATACCCCATGCAATTTACCCTCCAGCTGAGTGCCTCTGCTCCTGTGATCTTCCGTGTGACATCCTTGATTCCGTGTAACTTCTGATCCAGTAGAGATATGAAGGTGGTTCCAGTGAGTGACTAGGGGTTAAATTGGCCGTAGATTCCATTTCTGACGTCCATTTATCCGTATCTTGAGTCCTTCATTGATAAATAATAAAATTTTGAATTTTCTCCCTTCATACACAGGAATAATGACCACACCGGATGCAAAGCAACCATCTCTAGTTACTAGGATCTATTTTCCTCCTGGCTTCAGATCAACAATCCAGGTTGATCCAAAGTTGTCTGTCTCAACGTCAAAGGTAAGCTCAAAGATATTGAACTGTTGGTTCTTCTGATTCATTCTTATTCCATAAGCATATTCATCATCTTTATACACACATAAAAGTATTGGTTGTGTTCCAAAACCTATTTGATGATCTACAGCTATAACAAGAAATCTTGCGGGATCTGAAGTCAGAAAATATAAAAATATAAAAAGAACTACGGACTATAGTTGGAAGCTTTGGAAGAATACAGGTCCATGTATGTATGGATGACCTCGGCATAAATCAGCTTTCTATTTTTCCACTCATTTTCAGGTGATGAGAGTAACACCATTGGAATCCTGATGGAAAGTTCAGTCTACTGACCTCCACCTCCATTTGGCCCATGCCCTGGCCACCACAGAGCTCCCTCCATGGGGGCTGGCTAGCTTGCCCAGCCTCTCCGTCGAACGCACAAAGTGCAGGAGAGGCTTGTGCCAAAAACAAACACGCCCGCTTGTCGCTTTCGAGTTTTGAGAGTGTTTTTTGCACGCAAAATTCTAATAAATTGCTTTCTTAACTTTCAAAGGGCAAAAATCTGGCACAGCGTGCCCAAGATGGTAAAGCAAGTGTTCATCAAGAATTTACCCAGGAACGTGTACAACTACACTCTAGAGAAACTTTGTAATTGCCCAAGGTTCCACTCAAATTTGTGTTTTTTGCTTATGTAATAGCTTCTCAAGGCTCGGAGCTCAACTTTGATTCTGATTTTTTTTCGATATTTCATATTTTTCAAAAAAATCTTACTCATCCGGATTCCAGGAAATGTCCCTGAAAATTTGATGAGAGATCGGCAACATGGTCACCTATGACCATGTTGACTTTGCCTTCCAAAAAACCAAAACTACATGCATGGTGGCTGATCTAAAAATTGCTACACCAAAACATGCCAATAGCGACACCCGCGTGTGTTCGTTTTTGGCACAAGTCCCTCCTTTGGAGGCTCGCTTCGCGAGTGGCGCCGGCCAGCCCAGGTCACCAGGCCCGCAGAAGCGCGGGACTTGGTACAAGTTAGGGGGGCCGGTCAGGTCCCATTGGCACCGCTGGCCAGTACATGGCAACCTGTACACCAAGGTGTATACTTCCAAACATTCCGGCTGCATATGGTTTTTTTTTTTGGATTTCCAATCTTCCAAATCCGCAAGCTTTTTCGTTATAGCTGTAGTTCTCTGAGTTCTCTTGCTTGTGCTGTTCTTGTTTTCCTTCTTCCATCAATTTGTTTCTTATCAAACTCTCACAACTCGGTTCACTAAAACTAAAAGATCAAACCTTTCACTACAGGTTAGTTATCATTTCCTTCTACTCATGTTAACTTGTCTCATCACTGTTTTGTCAATTCCTTTAGGTTTGTTCTTCTATTCTTTGTCGTTCATATCAGTCATTATAGTGATCTGATATCACCTACTTTATAAAGGTGTGTATAAGAAATTCAAAAAATTGTTTCTTATCAAACTCTCACAACTTGATTCACTAAAACTAAAAGATCAAACCTTTCACTACAGGTTTGTTCTTTTATTCCTTGTCGGTCATATCAGCCATTGTAGTGATCTGATATTGCCTACTTTATAAAGGTTTGTTCTTTTATTCTTTGTCGGTCATATCAGTCATCGTAGTGATCTGATATCACCTACTTTATAAAGCTCATTATTCAATAAAATACTCCATTGATGTTGTTGTCCAGCATTGACTTCAATTCAAAGAATGGTGATGCTACATAATTTAAGAGTTCATCAGCATGAGTGTTCTTAGATTTGGAGCAATAAACTGGGAACTGTGCGGCCACTTGTAAACCCCCTCCCTCCTTGGTCAGGGTTTCACACGTTGTAAAGCTAGATGTCACAGCTCCTCTAGTTTTCTGTCGGATTGTTTCCTTCCTGGCTCAGCAGAGAACTGACCCCTTACTTCTCTCTGAGTCAGAAATAAAATCATTCTGTTTGGTCTTAGAATTGCCCGGCTCTCTGCCCGTCCCTTGCGCATTTCCTCATTTATCCAGTGAAGGACGACCAGTTACACCACTCAAGTCTGGGTCCACCGATTCTAGATCACTTGAGCCTACAAAAATACCCACTAGAGATGAGTAAGCATCGACAAGTGCATAGAGGTTGATTAGTACACGATTTGGCACCGCAAACAAGACCAAGTCAATAGAACATTTAGACACTTACAATTTAGATTTTCCCCTTGACGTGATCAATGTTGACTGGGCGAGCAATTTGCGGAACCAAATGTTTCTGTTGAGGTGAACTGAAGTCTGACACCAAGTGCCATCATCTTGAACAATGGTTGATGCCAGATGAATCCCCCAGAATTTGAGCTTGAGTTCTTCTAGACTTCAGACATGATAGGGTGGAGCTTCACAACTGCTAGATCCCAATTCTCTTTCTATATCTATCCAACCTTGCCCAAGCTGTATGGCTATATTAGCGCTTAGTCTGAGGTTGAGAACATCAAACCGAGTGCTGATAATCTGACTCAAATCGCAATCACTATAAAAAAAACAACAGGGTTACATCACATTGCAGAGTAATATAGCTGTGGTGGTCAACAACGCTGGTGCCTTGGAGTACATGAAAGATTTACCAGGAGGGGAAAAAGACAAAACGACAAAGAATACGATGTATGGTGGTTGCAGATGTCATCAGAGCGAAAAAAAGAACAATCATACAGTGTGATCTACTGATTGGGAGAAAGAGATACCACATGATTCAAAAGGAAGAAGACTCCATAAATCCATGGGGATCGGCGATCTATGGCGGGGAACAATGATAATAGTATCGGAATAAAACAAAATACAGCTGTATCCTAGAAATGAAAGTTTGGGTCATGAGGGCTAGCCAATCGAGGTGAAGGAAGAGTAGTGGGCCTACTTACGCTTATGATTGTCCCTATACAGCTATTCTCTTCTTGCCTACGCAGCTTTTGTTTTCTGCAGCTTTTTTTCTCTTCTTCCCAGTCTGGCTTTTCTTTTCTTCCTCACGCAGCTTTTCTTCCTTATGCAGCGTTTCCTCCTCGCGCAGCTTTTGTTGAGCCTCTTGCAAAATAGTTAATATTTTTTCATAGAGTCTTTGGTGCTTCCAGCTTCGGATCTTCTGGTTGCTCATCAGTTGGGCGAACCTGATGACACAGTCGGAGAGATGCTTTCCACGGTATTGAGCTGTGAAAAGCTTTGTAAGGTCGCAAGGTGTGGTGAGGTATTCGTTCTTGATGCCAGCTAGGTTTTTCGGCAGTTGCTGATTCCACGAGGCCAATTCAGAGATCCCGTTCCTTTTATCTTTGGGGTAATGGATACAAATCCATATCAAGACCCAAAAGAAGGATTCCAGGTCATCCACGGGAGTGTGGGGGTTTCCTCCTCTAAGCAAACTGCTCGACATGAACACTTTTGTGCCGGTTCTGGTGTGGCCGTCATCACCGCTTGACATAGAGCAGTGAATCGCCACATCTAAGTCGATGAGGAAGGATCGGTAAAGTGGATCGACTGCCTGGTCATTAACCATGAGATTGTTGATCGATATATCTCTGTGAAGATATCCAGCTGCGAATAAGGCCTGATGTCCGATGATACAGCTCTCGAGAGCCTCCAACAGACGAAGCGGAGAATCAACTGTCCAAATGGGTTTCCCCACGTCTTTGAGAATCAATCGTCTATGGACCCGATTGATAAACTCGTTTTGCACATTTAGATCGTCGGGCTTTTCTTTGTTTGTGAGCTTCTCACAATTTTGGAAGTCGGCGCCCCTCCGAACGTGTGATTTGATGTCGACCATTTTGCCGTCCACGCAGACGTCTTCATGATGGTGATATCGGGCCACATGTGGTACTTTCTTTTCCGTCACAATGCGAAGCATTTCACCTTCTTTCGGCCGCTGTTCGGGTTGCCATGAGTCTTTGATCAGGAATTGTTGACTCTTATCTCCAGAAAGATGCGCTTTCCAGCAGGTGGTGCCACGTCCGCAGATTCCCGACGCTCGGAAGACGGGTTTGGGCTCTATTTCGAGTTCTTGATTAACATCATTCTGGGTTTGGATTCGTAGCACAGGAGGACGGTCTTGAGCCTCAATGAAGGTCGGATCAAAGCCTAGAAGATCCTTGTTGCATGTTAAGAAACATAACATAAGATCGAGGAACTTTTCAATATTTGGTTTGTCCGATTTGAAGTCGACTGGTTCAGAACCGATGGCACCGGACCTGTCGAACTGCCAGATCTGAATCGAGGTTTCGAACACAGTAACTCCAATGACAAAGCTTCGGGTGGGCTGAGCTTTGAAGACCTCGCAGACATATTTGCCCAAGCAAATCACAGCTTTTGTGAGATCCTGCTTATCCTTCTTGAGTTCGAAAGGGACCAGAACATCTCGAATGTGATAGTTTTTTTGGTTTGCGTTGACCCCGGACATGATCGCACCATCCACCATGCGCGTCCCATCAACACCCTCCAAACGCGTGTGAGGTTGAGTCCGCCAAATACGAGACATCGGATTCTTGGGCTTTGTTTGGTTGACCAAGTGCTCGGCGAACGAAGAGATGTACTTCAACATAGAACCCTGCAACGTGTTTGAGAGTTTTTTTTTACGCTTTTGATCAATAAACCTGGATCTTGCGTTAGTGCGTTTCCGGTGAGTGGGATCGATGTGTCGTGGGTCGATGAAATGCTCCACCAGACCTTGGACATTTGTGTACAGTAATTTATTCAATTCCCGTTTTAGCGTAGGAACGAAGTCCGAAACCTTGGTCGAAGAATTGGTGAGGCCGGATATGTTGCCAGTCCTCACCAGGGCCGTTGATGTGACTGGTTGGGGCGTTGGGGGCTCGCTGTGTTCTTTGTTGATGAGCTGAAGCATTTCTTGATTGGATTTGGCTTGGTTGAGGAGGATGTAGGTGATAAGAGGCTCGTAAGTCTTGAATTCGTCAACGGTGACCAATCGTGATATTCTATTCGTTCCATGTGTCATCCAATAGCCATCTAATTTGTCAGCGAGGCAGGACTGTATCGTGATTTCCGCTCCAAGAAGCGAGAGCCGTTTTTTGATTTCTGTCAAAGAATATAAATAATATGTGAGATGGTCATTGCAGGTTACATGGTTTGATGAGTGAGTAGTGCTTGGCTTACGATCCTGACCACCCTCGAAGAACTTTTCGACTGTTTCGATCCCATTTGAAGTGAGATAGCTGCGTAGAGCCTCATGAATAGATGCTGGTCCAGATTCTTGTGCCATCCTGCCGGTGATGTTGTTGTTGTTGTTGTTGTTGGGGGTGCGATGTGCTGTGAGTGGACGAGACCTTTGATTTGTGAGGGCGACACCGGCCACATGTGACAGGCCCACATCCCGGGGGGTTTTCTGTGACAGATCCCGGGAACCTCGTCTGTGAACTTTGCAGTGTCAGATGGGAATTCACAGCACTGGCCATCGTGAGTACACATCCCTACTCAAACTTCTCAACTTCTGTCCTGGGCCGTTATCCACTGAGACCTCCTCCCAGCTTCCTCAAATTTCCAAAGACGCGTTAATCGCGGACGAGTAACCTGGATTGGAGGAGACGCGTATCCCGGCAGCAGCTTCATTGGTTCCGACAAACAAATCTGGATTGCTTTTGATTTGTAGACCCAATCACAGGACTCTTCATCATGGCCGAAGAGAGACAGTTGAGCACCTACCCTTTCTAAATTTCACTTCCTTCCTTGATCAATTGATCCGAAACTGATAATCGACCCGATCGTCTTCCCTTTTGAACCAAAGCACCAGTACACGTGGTAGTTCTTTTCACCCGAATGTCCCTGCGTCCCGCCCTAGCCAGAATTCACCAGTGAAAAATTCTGGTCAGTCACCACTGCTCAATCGAGAATCAGAATCACCTCGATCGCCAAACTAAATAATTGTGTGGATGCAAATTTCTTAATCGATCATTGAATTGCTCCAGGTCCTTTGTACCCGCCCATCAGCCCTTCTCGCCCACAGCAACAGCAAAGTCACTCCAGAGTAAGAGAATCTCGGACAAGCTCCCAAAACACTCCATTCTCACCTGCAAACAGAAATCCGTCACCCGTCAAACGCGGACAACCCCTGACCAAACCACCCAGACCCAGCTCAAGGCCTACATTCTCCTCTACTTCCAGAGCAACTTCACCCACCAAAGTCTCTGTAATTAAACAAAATAGCAAAACTCCTACCAACACCCACGCCAGCCCTACTCGTACACCTCTTTGGCCCAATGGAAGAGCTGAGACTGGATTAGGTCTTAACATCGGAAATCCAACTCCAGGAAGATCATCCCCTACCCGTCAACCTTCTTTGAAACCTTGCAGTAGTGGTCACGACTCGATGGATAGCTCACTGATGAACGTGACATTCGTCAGTGCTGCAAGTGGGATCGACGAAAATCAGCCTCTCCCATCTTCAGCCAAGCCCAAGGAGTTCAAATCACATCAATCTTCGATCCTGGCCGGTTTAGGATTCTCACGAATAGGCAATCAAAGCAAATCTCCCATTCTTCCCACCACACCCGGTGTATCTCCAGAAAAGTCTAAAAATGTCGCACTCAAGTCAGATGAAAGGCACATCGGCGGATATGACCCAAAACGAGAACCACTGAAGGTTAATTTGATTGATCATAATACATGAAAGTATGCTCCACAAATCAACGGCTGACTAACAAAAAGTGACTCTTTACCCCTTTTCTAATTGGTGGATCCCTTGTTCTGAAAGGCTTACTTGAGAATTAGACCACCCAATGCAGCTTCGACGCGGACCCCGCCGTACATCTCAATACTGAATGACACCGAGGTTTTGCTGGCTCCACCTACTCAATCCTCAGCTACCGGATTTGCGGCACAAGAAAGCGTGAATGCCAAATACAAGTTTACACGGGTGTATGGACCAGAGGCCACCCAACAGGAGTTCTTTCAAGGTACCGGGTTACCACTTGTGGCTGATCTGTTGGATGGTAAAAGCAGTCTGTGCTTCGCATATGGTGTCACCGCTTCTGGAAAAACGTATACCGTTCAAGGCGGATTGGATACTGCCAGAGGCGGTGGCTCGATGGACCCAGGGCTATTGCCTCGAACTATGGACGTCTTGTTCAATTCGATCGGATGTAATCTGACCGAATTGCCAATCAAACCAGCCAGACTGACAGGCATTGAAATCGCACCCTTCGTCCCGGAGCCATTGAGACTGTTGAAACGCAATGGCTTCTCTGACCCTTCGTCTCCGCATTCATCTCCAATGCTGTTAAAAGACCAAACGATTTTGCCTATCGATACGAACTGCGAGTATGGAATTTGGATTTCTTATGCTGAGGTTTACAACGAAAAGGTCTACGATCTACTAGATACATTGCTTGAATCCTCCTCCAGTTCTGGAGCTACCTTTCAATCATTTACTGCCAACCTGGCTGACCAAGTCAAGAATGCAGCTCATCTACTACACACCAAGGCATCGCATTCGGGCGGGGTTATCAAACGGAAACCGCTGACACTGAAGCACGATAAAGCCAACGGCAACAAATACATCCATGGTCTGACAGAGATTAGGGTGAAGACTGCGGAAGAAGCCAAGATTCTACTACGCCATGGACAGGTTAATCGGACGGTGTTTTCTACATATGCGAATCGAACAAGCTCCCGTAGTCATGGAATATTTACGATCAAAGTGATCAAACTGCCGAAAAACATCCAACTTTCAGAAAGTATGTTATCCACTGCGACGGTCTCAAGGTTATCGATTGTTGATTTGGCGGGGTCGGAACGGACGAGGAATACCCAAACGACAGGCCAACGATTGAAAGAGGCCGGAAACATCAATAAGTCGCTCATGGTCCTGGGACAATGTATGGAGACTTTGAGGAGGAACCAAGAGCAGAAGGAGAAAAATCGTAAAATGACTATCGTGCCGTTCCGGCATTCGAAGTTGACTGAGCTGTTCCAAAGCTTTTTTACCGGCGAGGGGAAAACCGTGATGATCGTTAACGTGAACCCTTGTGATACCGGCTTTGACGAGAATTCTCATGTGATGAAGTTCTCTGCTGTAGCTAGTGAAGTCGTCACTGTTCGGGAGGAACAGCATCTGAACTCGTACGCCTACCTTCAAGATCAAGCAAAAGCCCAGGTCGCGCCCCCAGTTGTGGATGAAACTAGCTTTATTCTTGGTCAGTCCATGATTTTGAAATATCCATCCCTGACACTGCACGTATCGTCTAACTCCTTCTCGTCTCAACGCACGTGACTGTGGCGCATTAAAGAGGATGAAGACGATGACGATGAAACGGAAAATGAAGATGGAGCTGAAGATTTGACAGCAAGTAATGACGCGTTTGTGGATCATCTCTTAGAACAAGTCTCTTCATTACGTGTAAAGGTCAGTTCACTCAACGGTCCCATTGCTGTTGTCCTCCGCACTCATCAATTTTTCCACGAGTCGTTTACTGATGTTGCGGTCGATCACAAAACTATCCTTGATCGATCAAAGTTGGTCGAAGCAGAAATTCGGTCAGCCATGATCGAAGCTGAGATCAGAGAACAAGTGATGCAAGAATACAACCAGAAAATGTTAGATATGGAAGCCTTGTTTACGCAAAATATGGCCAATGAGGTCAGCTTCCATCGACTTTTTTGTTTTTTGTTTGAAGATCAGAGTTAAGATTGGTTGATTTTAAATTACTTTCGCTCCTATTACTGTAAATCAAACATTCACACATATTATGAGAATAGGCTAAAGAGGCCGAACTGAAAGCGGACAGGAAGATAGATATCTTCAATCGAGCAACACAGCATCTGAGCCGATCCAGCTCTGAAGAACTCAATGAGGAGGGAACAGAAGAATCCAGAAATCCGAACGAAATAGACGTTAGTTCAATGAACTAATGTGGTAACTGAAGGCATGAATCAACTTTCATTATTAATTTTAATATCCTCCTCAGGTCGTCAAGCAAGCAAAACCCCAGCCTAATCGATCTAAAAAGTCTACTAAGAAACAGCCAACAGCGAAAGCCCTCATCGACAGTGAAAAGGAAGCTGATGATGATGATCCGACTTCTCACCTCCATCAACCATCTTCAGATCATCGGCCGGAAGCTCATCCCGTTCGGTATGTTCTTCCTCGCACATACTCTGCTGGTTTTTTCCGTTAATTGAATCTTCTGTCCTTCCTTGGTTCAGTGAACTTCGTCCCCGGACTCAAAAATCTTGAAAAATCGGTTTCTGGAGCGTTGTTTTATAATGTTGGTGTCATCTTTTCTTCTTCAGTTTCCCTTCATTATCTTTTTTTTCTTGTGTTTTTTGTTGAGGTAGAGAGAAATAAAAAAAATAAAAAACTTAAGGCAGGCGGCAGCTTACAAATATTAATATGTATCAATCAGATGTCTTTGCTCATTTCTTCCCTTTTTTTTCCCCGAGGAAACAAAGTTTGTCTGGAGAAGTTGAATATTTTTTTCTTCTTGGCTTAATGGATCTTATTTTTTTTCCCCCCTCTTGGTCTGTTTGTGTGCTTGGCCCACCAAAAGAAATGAATGCTTTTTGACTTTGACTGAGATTTGGACAATCTCTAATGCAAAAACTATGGCAAGTTTGTACATACATTAGGCCCCATTTGGCTACAAATCATGATTTGTGATTTGGCTAAGGTTTGGTTTGGATTTGGACCATGTGGTCTAAAACAATATAGAGTTTTTGCACCAACCTGCGCCAAACTTTGCCTCCAAATTACAAATTACAGCCAGCCAAATCGGGCCTTGATTAGAATGTGACAATGAAATGAGGGACAGAAAAAAAAGAGGTAATCACCTCTTGAAATAATCCACAGGGAATAAGTTAGGCTTTCAAGCTGGTAAACCTCACTAAAAGTGGCAGATGTGTGACTGTCAATGACTGCACCCCAAAACAGGATAAAAAGTTCAAAAGATTCACTTTTTTGATATCCTAGGAAGCTCATGAGTTCTATTCAGTGGCTCCTACATAAGCTCAGTTTGAATTCCTGGGTTAATCTCAATCCAAGCTGTCTCAAGAGTCTTCAAGATTTTTCTACTTTGAACAAGATAGCCATTTTGAGCTATGATGTTGTGAAATCAGGTCTGTGCATTGTGAATTGAAACTGGGAGGAGGAATCTATATAGAGTGCTCATGAAAAAAACTGACAATTCAAATTATTTGTCCCTTCTACCCTTCTAAAGCCTCCTTCTTTTGTTGGTTTTGCTTCATTTTGATCCTCTGCCTGTAAATCTACTTTGTCTGAAAAACTTGACTGGATAATGTTTGAACTTTGGGGTAAATTAGATTGGTGATGGGGGATGTTGGTGATAAAGTGGGTGTCTAATTTGGAATGCACACCGATTAGGTAGGGGATATTGAATGAATCAAAATTGTACACAGAAAGGAGGATTGATGAGTGCTATCTCAAAGAAGAACACGGAGAAGCTGTGAAAATCAAGCTTTGCAAGTATCTTCAGTCCAACAGAGCTCAAATCTGGGGGAAGTTCTGACCTTGATGTTAATGGATGAGTGAAAGAGTCAAAGAGGGAAAGGCTCAATGAGTTTCTATTTTTGGATGAATAAACTGAGACTATAAATAGCAAAGAATATATGCTACAAATGAGATAAACCAGTAGAAAGCTAAAGCATAACTAGAAAAATATGCTAATAAGTGTTTGAAAGGAAAAACACAGAGAGCTGAAATAAATGTATACGAACACTTAAGTCTTAAATGTCCATATTTTGGGTTTGTTCATAAGCTTTTCAGCCACAAATCTACATTAGAGATTGTTCATCCGTACTTTTTGCAGGTACCTGGTACCTCCTGGGGGGTACCCCTCGCACCCGCCCCACACCTGCCGGGAGGTGCCAGGTGTGGTACTTGGTACCTATTTTTGCAGAAAATTGAACAGGTACCCCCTCACTTCCCTACCAAAATGACACTGGTCTTCTACTCCAAGAACTCCAAGATCCAAGAAGGTACCTTGGCTGCATGGAAACAGCAACACTGGGCCAGCTACACTAACCATAGCGGTTAGTGCAGCGTAACGTAGCGGAATTCCACACAACTTTAGCGTAGCGTAGTGGAATTCCGCCACGTCCACGCTAACGCTATGTGTTCAGACCCTTAAAAAGGGCCCGCTACGCAGCGCTAACGCGCTGGTTAGCAGTGTTTTGGCTTTGTAGTGGCCGTTAGCGCAGCATAGTGTAGCAAAAAGTCGCTAGCTTTTTGCTAACACTACGCAAATCTGGCGCGCAAAAAGGACCGCTACGCTAACACTATTTGGGCAAAAAGTGTAGCGTAGTGGCCCAGTGCTGGAAACAGGGACTCTCAAGGATAGCAAGAAGTCTAACCAAAAATCAAAAAGGAAGGTGATAGTTTTTGACAACAATGAAGATTCCTCCAATTAGTTATAAGTTGTAGATAGTTTAAACTTTACAATAAATTATTAAATATCAAAAAATGAAAAAAGTGACTTGAAGTTGGGACTGATGTTTTACAATAAATTTGAAAAAAATAGAAAAGTAAGATTCTTCCAATTAGATGTTGATATATTACAACAGATATGAAAAATGCCAAAAAAGTGACTTGTGAGTGGTATTTTACAATAAATACAAAAAAAAAATAATGATAATAAAGTGACTTGGGACTCTGCGAGTGAAACTAGGTGAAAAAGAAAGGGGAGGTACCTGAGGTACCTGCAACAGGTACCTTGGGTACCCCCCGGGAGGTGTCTGGTGCGGTACATGGTATCTATTTTCTTGAAAAAATGAACAGGTACCTAGGCCCAAACAAACAATCTCTAATCTACATACCCTGATTTTTTAAAGTTTCTTCAATGTGCATTAATTTATCTTGTTCAGGGGGAAGCTGATGCTGAGAATATTTGAAAGATTTTTGATCCAGCAGCAGAATCTAATTTTTCTGGAATCATTATGTAATGGGTTAAGTGTAAGGCACACTGGCCAAATTGTGAATCTGTTGAAATTTTGAACTCAAGGGCGTATAAAGAGGTTGAGGGCCAAAAAAATATATCTTGTTTTGGGAAGGGCTCACATAAAAAGAGTGTAAGAACCAATGATTTTTATTCACAAGTATCTAGCCATGTTTAAATAGACTAAATATAAGTGTGTTAAAATGTGGTCAGGAAAAAAAATGAATAAAGAATGATTTTGAATAAAAACTGAGAGGAAGAAATATATGAGTTCATGGAATTAATAACTGGAAAAGCCTTCTCAGTCTCTCTTAGACAAGCTAGAAAATTAATCATGAAAAAGCATACACTCAACCACCAATGTTTAAGAGTTGTTAATTCTCAAATATCAGATTTTAAGAATAAACCAAATTAGGAAAAAGAAGAAGAAGACTTTTGAGAGACATGAGTTGTTGACAAGATCTATAAGTTTCATTGACTTTGGAGGTGCATTCAGGCACCAAAAAAATAAGCTCCTCAAAGCCTATAATCCAGTCTAATTTTCAGGAAGATTCAAGAAATAATAAAAGAATAAAAGAGGCAGAATTGGAGGGATTCTAGGGAAGAGAAGACAGAAGACAGCAAAAATTCAACAGAATCATATAAACTGATGGTTGGTTTTCAATTATAGATATGGTTGATCAATTAGATTAACTCAAGATCATTAAATAATGGTCAAAGAATCAATGAGAAATTAAGAAAGTCGCTTATATCATGTATTTCAAAGGTCTGATAAAGTGTCCAACAAGTGATGCTCATATATTGATCTAATAAGTCATCTCTTTTGAAGGGCTTGAATCATGTATCAGCATCAGTTATTGGACGGTTTATCAGAACTTTGAAAACACAATCCGAATGAGAATTAAGAGAGAGAAAAAAAACAGAGTAAGAAATGAACATGTTGATTATATGAAGAAATATTCACCCAACATATCAAAAATATTGAATAAGAAGAATGCCAGACGTATAAGTAATCCGATTTCGAAATCCAAATAGTTCTGGAATGCTTTTGCAAAGAGATCCCATGCAAAGATCACGAGAAGGTTTCCCCCAAATTGGTTGAGATTGTCCCAGAAAAGGAGACGGTCCTGATCCCACAGATCAGGAAGGAGTTGGTGCTCATCTTGCAGATTGATCAGTCCATTATCCAGATGAACATGATTGACATCATCAATAAGTGCTGGGATGTTATTTTCAGCCATCTCAGCTGGTTGATTGATCTGAGCTATCCGAAGTGGGTTATATTGTTGCACAGCTTGGTTTGCAAGACCACTATAAGAAGAGGAGGGTTCGCCTCCGGTAGAGGATTGTGTGCTCCCATCTGGATGGCTGATTGGTAGGATGGGCGTCTGACTGCTTGATGGATGACTAGCACTTGTCTTTCCTGAAAGTGCAGTTGGGTGCTCCAGTGAAAGTTTCGGATCCGGTGTGGTGAGATTGATCAAACCCATAGATCTAGTTAAAAACATTTTATTACACATAAATAGTGTTTAAGATGTTAGAGAAGAAGGGGGAAAATATAGAATACAATGTATAATAATTACTGGGTTAAAACATAGCTAAGATAAAGCCCAAGTCAGGCCTAAAATACATAAATCCTTATGAATAATAATTATACAAATAGACTGTAAACACACATAAAGAGATATTACATCCATTTTAGATTGGTAAATCAAGGTATTGATCAGAAAGTACTTCACAGACTAGCTTTAGAAAATAACTCTTATATTAATTAGTCTAAGAATACCATTCTCATAGCAATTAATCTAAGAATAGGCCTCATATAGTAGATTTACAACCTCTTGTATTAGAAAGGCACTTAGAGACTAATTCATATCAGATTAGGCCATCTCAGAGTAGTAAAAACCACTCTAGAAGTACCCTTCTCAGATGAACTTGTGTTCAGGCCAAAATCCCATGTACTGCAGAACAATTTGTCTATAAATAGAGGCTCTTCTGGCTCATGTTTTCCTTTCTCCCTCCTCATGCTAGCTACAGAACAGTAATCAGAGATATTACTCAGCTTTCATCACCCCTGATTAAGAGATCCAGAGAATATTTGAGCCCTTGAACTTCCCTTACTTCAATTTTGGCCATAGAAAAGTAATACAGAAATATTGCTTAGCCATTCTCACCTCTTTGAAAGAAATTAGAGAAATAAGCGTACCTTTATCAGAGCCCAGAGAAACCAGAGAGACTTATAAGATCAGAGAACCAGAGAGAATTTACAACAGATTTAACAGAGAAACCCTACAGAAGCCCTTATTACTCAGAAAACCCCATAAAACTCCTTACCTCTTCAACAGGTATTCTTAAGCAACAATAACAGTAGTATCAACACTAAGATAAATTTAGAAATAAGCCACACTCTTATTTTTCTTAGTGTAACTTTCCCGCAAGCTAGACAGGAGGGCAGTCTCACCCACACACCAATACTAATTCTACTATTCCATAGTCTTATTAGCTATTTTATCCCCTCTAAGCTCTTTACTCACTTGCTGAGCAGTTCCACACCAGTTGGATTGCAAGTTTGGAATCTTGCTCTAGGGCTTTGCCAGTTTGTTCAGCAGTGATGTGAGTGATGTGAGCGGATGTTGAGGGGGTGGGCCTTATAACGACAGCAAAAACCTGTGCAAAGAACATGTCTCAGTAAGTTCCTGTTCCGAGTGATTGTGCCAGTAACTGATAATGAATGGGATGAAACTGAACAATGAGAAGGATTTGTGAAAATAGCATGTCTAGATCAGAGGCTGCCGATGGTCGATCTGGGAAAGATACAACAAGGATGGTGTCTGGTGAGTGTGCACTGTAGGATGCGGTTGTGAAATGGAAGTGTGTTGGTGTCTTGGAATAATTCATGGGGAATCCGATTGGCTTAAGACCCCTGTAGGTTCATTCAAGCTCGGCGAGACAACGAGTCATTTGCGGTACCATGTAGAGGCCCGTACCGTTTTAAGTCGGAACGAGTAAGATGAGTGGCTCAACATGACCATCATCATGAATCAAAAATTCTTTTTTCTGCTTTTCAAATCAAGACATTGATGTGAGCAAACTTGATCTGCGTGCTACCAGGGCCGGGCAAAACCTGCCGGCATAACCTCCGCGCCGATGGGCGATGAGGTAAATAATACCTTCTTCCGGGCCATTGGATCGGAATGAAATTTTGTGTACAGCCCCTTGACAGAAAAAATGGAACCCTTTAATTGGATTCTAGAGGGCAAACCAATGGACTTGAATTTATGCTTCTTGGTGAAACTGTGGAGAATGAGTTCCAAAGAATGATTCTGTAAAATTGGAATGGAAAATCTTTTGTAAATTTTTTTTTGTATGTTTTTCCCCATTTTATGATTTTTTTGGTATTTTTCAATCATTTTTCAAAGTAGCTCAGAGAATTATGATCAACACAATTGCATGTGAAAAGAATGATTATAAATGAAAAATTGAGAAAAATCAATGATCCAAAGTCTAGAGAGCTGAAGAAGTTGGATTGATATTGAAATTGAATTCAATTTCAGTGCCTGATTGCAGGGTTGGTCTGGTGGATGACACAATCCAAACATGCTTAAAAAAGCTGTTGCTCATTTTTTTTTTTTTCATTTATAATCATTCTTTTCACATGCAATTGCATTGATCATAATTTTCTGAGCTACTTTGAAAAATGATTGTAAAATACCCAAAAAATCAGAAAATGGGGAAAAACATACAAAATTTTTACAAAATATTTTCCGTTTCAATTTGTCAGAATCATTCTTTAGAACTCATTTTCCACAGTTTCACCAGGAAGCATAAATTGAAGTCCATTGGTTTGGCCTCTAGACTCCAATTAAAGGGTTCCATTTTTTCTGTCAAGGGGCTGTACATAGCCGTCTGCGGGCCGACGTCCCCTCCGATACTGAGTTATGTAAGACGTAAACACCTCATCCACCGCTAAGAGCATCCACCCTCGTCTCTGTAAACCCGCTCGGTAAGCGGGATTTACCAGAGGCGGCAATCGAAACATCCTACATGATAGTCGGTTTGTGAAGGGATTGACCCACCCACCCATAATTTAAAATGAAAATACCCAAAGCAGAACACAAGAAACCTTTTTGGAAGTGTCTGGATGGGAATGATGAACCCATGAGATCGGACTTCCCATCCTGAGTGTGACATGGCCTCCCAGCTTGATCTAAAGCAAGATCCAACAGAGTACAACACTTACGAAGGAGACGGGGTTTTGTTATAATGTCCACCCCACCTCCCCCTGGCTCAGAGATTCTCTGACCCACCCATTGTTTTGCCTAATTCTACATTAATACCCATTGCCCTAATAATACCCTTTCCCCCTACAAAGTAATTCTTGAACTTGACCTTTGAACCACCTCCGAACTTGATTTTTCACCAACTCTGTTTTAATCTTGTGTGTTTCCCCAGTTCGGTGTTCCTTGCCGCTTGTGTTACACAATTTTCCCCCTGATTTCATACTGCCCCTTTGGCGTAACTAGCAAACTTGATTTTTTTTATTATTTCTTGAGTTTTTCATCCCATTCTTACTTCATTTAGCATTTCCCCTCGCTTTACTCTGCACATATTAGCACTTAATCTTAATGGCTTCCATGGCTCAAGCTATCACCACCCCCGCTCCTTTCACTTACCCACTTGTCCAGGACATCTATGAAGTTGTTCCCCGACCTAATACCCAAGAAATACCTGCCTCTGAGGGGGTATCGTCAGCCCCAAATGCCCTCAGATTGGTTCGGAACATCAGCAGTACCAGTCCAACCTTTCCAACTCATCCTCACCTCTTTACAATCCCTGGCAGCTCGAAGTCGGAAGCGGAGGAATTTGTTAAGGCGATGAGAGCAACGATTCGATGGAACTTTCAGAGAGGTACCCCTACCCCTGGTGATAAATTGGCTAAGTCACAAGGCAGCGGCCGTCGTCCGGAGGCCTTTTTCAAACTCGAGTATCAATGTCCATCCAGTGGATATTGCAAAGGCAACCCCAACTCACGCAAGAAGAATCACATATCGGCTCGGTGTGGCTGCAAGGCACGATTCTCAGTCACTCACCATATCCAATCCAATACACTTCGAGTTGCATGGCACTGGCAACACAACCACGACCTGAATTCTCATCGGCAAATGACCATCACTCGACCACCAGTTGTTGTTGATCAGTGGATCAAGGACCGAGTCGACTCAGGCCTTGTATGGAAAGAAATTTATGATCTTACCCGGGTTGATGATGTGTTGGATGTGGGTAATGTTACTCTGCCATGTGAACATCTCAATTGATGGAAACTGATGTATATATCTTTCTTTTGTTTCTCAGCTGAGGTCGTCAACTGTTAAGCCAGAGGCTCACGGTGTCACTTATGACCGAGTCCGCTACCTGATACACACTCGCAGGACCATTCCATCTAAACTCAATCGCGATCCCCTCCAGTCTTTATCAATTTGGGAAAGCAATCTGATTTCCACAAACTGGAATACTCATGTCAACATTGTCGACTCCTCCGATTTCATCTTCGCATTCCAGTCACCTTGGCAAAAACAGATGCTAATCGAACATGGAAGCAGCATGCTCATGCTGGATGCTACACATAATTCAGTAAACAACTACTTCCTCTCCGAAGGCAGGAAAGCTAGCTTATACACCTTCCTGATTCGTGACCCCATCGTCGGCAAAGGCCTCCCAATTGCTTGGGCCTTTACTGCCTCAGCCGCAGAGTAAGCAACAATTGGTTTGTTACATACACACATGATCAAAAACTAACAAAAGCTTGGTCCCTCAGGAAACCACTTGCAGCAGTCCTCCAATGGCTCCGATACACCACCCACATGATACCTCAATCGATCATGAGTGATTGTGCATTGGCCATCGCCAACGCTGTTTCCAATGTTTATCAGGATGTAGCGGAACAAGCACCAAAACATTACTGGTGCTTGTTCCATGTTTTAAAGGCGTTCAAAGGTCAGGCCAAAACGTATGTTCGGGACCGGTCGGACGAGGCTTTCACCGAGTTCCGGTCGATAGTGTACAGTCAATCACACCCCATGCCTCAGTTGAATCAATACCTGGCCAAGTGGCATCTCATCCACCGGGGGTTCTCTGGATATGTCTATAGCCAGTGGGTAACAAGGATCAAACACTGGGCCATCTACTTTCGAACGGTGAGTTACCTCACTCACCAATCTGATGTACTCAGCTGAGCTGACAATGTTCTTTCAGACCGCACATCAGGGAATACATACAAACAATTACACGGAAGCCTGGCATCGAGTTTTGAAGTCAAAGTACATTCCATCAAACGAACGTCGACGGATAGATCATGTTGTGAAGATTTTGGTTGAAAAGGTCGAGTCCACCTACCGATGGACCCAAGCGCAGGTCGAGGATGGTTTCTCAAAACAAACCAGTAACAAGTTCCAGCGACGCGCCAAGGCTACCGCCGATGGATACTCTGCAGAATTCATGCAACTGCTTGGAATACAGTCGGTTAAGCGTTTTTCCGATGTGAGTCACTCATTGAAGGACAGGATGGATATATTTCATTAATTTATTGGCACACATAAAACTAATACAACACATGCTGTAGTTTACCATCAACTCGTTCACCAATCCAACCCTCAAGCTCTACTCGGTAGCGTTCACCCATGCACACAACAGCCTCAGAGGAAGCCTAACCAGTTGTACATGCGATCACTACATGCAGTATGGCAGCGCTTGTAAACACATGTACTTTATTGCACGTGAGCAAGACATGCTGGTTGTCGAACAGGCAGTTTCCCCCCGCAACTCGACAGCACACAATGGAACTGCCGAAGAACCAATCAACTATGACATCGAGGTTTTGTTTCCTACATGCGAAAGCGATGTCGAGATAATCAGGCCAGCTCCACAGGTCCGAAAGCGGAAGATTGATGAAGGTGGAGCAGACGTACACCTGATTCAAGCAAAAAAACATTGCCAATCTGATGCACTGGCTGCACGTCGTCCTGCTGCAGTTCAGTCGATTCCACTAGTCACACAAACCGTTTCAGTTGATTGCATCGATGGGTCTTGCCGAAAGAAATTTTGCGCCTGCCCAACAATCACGGAGACCACCGAGCTATTCATGAGCACCTCGGGAGACATTGTTGGCACCGAGGAGGACCGATTGCTATTCAAGCAAAAGTCGGAGCTATCGGGCCGATCGGCATTGAAAAGAATGCTAGAGATAATGAAGACGGTTGCGAATCGAAGGGAGTTTGCGAAGAATTCTTCTCCGATGATGATGGAGCAATATGCAAGCTGTATGTACTCTGTTGTGAAGATGGTCGAGGTTAGCTGCCCAGGTGTTTACCTCACCCCTGAGCCCCAACTCCCGGACGCATCGGAGGCGGGTCGAATGAACGGTCAGCAAACGGATGGATTGAAGGCCAATCTACAAGCGGCAGGCTGGGGGTACTTGAAACGAGCGATGAGTTTGGTTGTCGATGAGAAACATCGCAGTCACTTTTTCATGGCCAGTTCGTGCGTCCGCTTGGATTTGTACAAATCGAGATGCTGGCGAGCGTTGGACTTGGTATTAGAGAACTGTCCAAATCTGAAGTCAAAAAATCAGATCCGATGAACGCAGATGGATATGGTAGGTGATGGGGATGAAGTTGTTGATATAGCATAACATTCAGATTTCTTGATGGTTGTTGCAATGAAATAATATCTAGTGTGAAAAAGAAATGTATTGCAGACGGAGCAGCGAGTACCTCAAGGTGCGTGGAGGAGTATTATAAGTGTATCGAGAGACTTCAGCTAAGACCACGGTCACCACTGGTGATCTTGGTTTCTGTAAGATTGAGTTACCAAGACTTTCTGGTGACCAAAGATCATCATCTTGTGTGTCGGGAAGGTCTACCTCCTTGACAACTCGGCCTCACCCGATCAACAAGGAATAATTATCTCCTGACGACCCGGCCTTTGGGCCCGTTTGTCCTGGATGACTTCCTTGCCAAGGGTCAGGAATCTACAGCTACCCTTGGGGGGAGCCTACATCACTATCATACAGTGTTTCACACCGTTTGGAAGTAGAGCTGCTTTCAAACCAGCTTGTCAGGTATGACTTCCTTGCCGAGGCTCAGGCATGTGCATCAGGGACACTGCCTGCCTTCCTAAGGCTAGGTGTATTCCTCACTGACATTCGTTGCAGGCATAAGTGCTTGCTTGCTCTTCATGGCCGGGCCATTCCCTTTGGTTTTCTACCTTCTTCTCCACTCCACCTTCACTCATCGATGATGGACCACTAAGCTCTTGTGATGGATAATAACACCGCAGGATGTGCTGATAGAGGTGCTGGTGACCCCGATGACGATGTAGATGTCATTGGTGTCACCAGCACGTTATATATGGACACTTTTAGTTGACAGAGAAGACCGACTGCTGCCGTCTTGCTTCAAGCTTCAAGTTGAAGCAAGACGGCCAGCTGTAGCCTATATGCCCATGTGGTAGGTCCAGCGACTCAATCGTTCATCTGCTGAACTTCCGACCTCAATTCAAGAAGTGGAGGAATTTATTAAGAGGATCGCTTCAAGCTTTATGCTGAAGCAGGACGGCCAGCTATGCCTATGTTGGTCCAGCGACTTGATTGTTCATCTGATGAACTTCCGACCTCTATTCAAGAAGTAGATCAGGAAGATATTAAGAAGATCTCCACAAAAAATAAAACCTCGTTCCAACCTCAACTCATTCGAAGCCAACCTATACCAACCAGGCTCAACATCATCATCATCAACATCAAATTCAGCCTCAGCCTCATCAGCCTCAAACCGAATCCATCCCTACCAATCATTCTCACTCTCATCAAACAACAACAACAACAACACCCATCCCTCGCTGTATATCAAAAAACCATTCACCTATCTCAACTCATTCATCTCCACCTCCAGGAAACCCTCCCATTCCATTCAGATCGCTATCCTCATCCTCATCTCTCTCTCAACCCTTACCATCCTAATCGACTATTGGACTCAATCTCAGTAAGCCTCTCCTTATAATCCCAAAACAACAACAAGAAGAGCCTAAACTAACTCGGGTTTTTCCCATATAAAGACTATATAGACTTCGTTACCCATGGACACTCTCCCCATCCAAGGGCTCCTCGCCATCCACGAGCTCATGGAAGAGTCTCTCGGAAGGATATCTGGGCTTGCCCGCATGCGATCCGTTCGGTGAGCCCGGGACGGTGGTCCTGAACACGAGCTTCTACCACGACGCGAGCTGGGTGCCGTTTGGGCCGAGCTGTGCGCCCAGTCCGGACTATCTCTCGGCCTTACGGGCGATCCGCGAGGTGCCGATCAACCTGCCCCTCTCGCAACGAGAAGCTCTCATCCATCGACCCATCCATCCTAGCAGCTCTTCCTCAAAAGAACAAGAACAACAAGAACCACAACAGACTGAGTTCTTCGATCGATCCGGATTCGACCTTTGGGGTAGACCCTACCCCGACCTCACCTTCCTCCGCGGAAAAACTATCCTCCTAAAACGAAATGAGCATTAAGGCCAGTCCAGTCAAAAATGTGATAAACCTGTGTTGAGGGTGGATTGAAAATCATTGGATAGTTGAAGATCAGTTTTGGCCTGAAACAAACTGATCATTGTAATTTGAAATGATTGTTTTCTCACATTAGTTGAACTACATAGATAGGCTTGAAAGTCACAGTGGCATAGCTACCTTAGTGTGTAATTAAGCTTCACAGGCAAAAAAATCCCAGAACTGACATACACTGCAAAAAAGTTCATTCCGATAGGGTCTGATGTGTTTCAAGGGAGCAAGAATTTTTTTTAAAATAGGATATTGGAAGTGGAGTTTTGGAAAACACTATGAAAAAAGACTTTCCAGATGAATAGGCATGTATTCATAGAAAAAGCATCTTGGTGTGTTCTAGGTTTTCCAATAGACTGCATGCTTCCTTGTTTTTTTCTAGCTTGCTCAGAAGTTGACTTATCCATGACATTGATTTATGATATATTAAAAATGTGTTCTTACAGCAGGTCTTGTCCTGTCTGTCTGTCACTTGAGCTAATCTGTCACAAGATTCTGGGAGTTTGGATGATAGGAGCACCTAATTATTCTCCTGGATGCTTAATGGTACCATGTTATTGAGAACTCAACTATTGAATGCAGAAATGGTTCTTTGTAATATTCAGTTCAATTACCAATTATTTCCATGTTTGCCACTCAGCCTCTTATGAGAACTAGGTTCTCATTTACCTCATTAATAGAGTAATCTCTTGACTGAGAGCTGCCTAGGGCTCAGGTTGGTAAGGTTGATTGAGGGATTGTAGTTAACTGTGATGTTAGGTAGGATAGTGGTATGAGACTCACAAGTATTTAGTGTGAACATCAACATTGTTGTGCAAGTAAGTGTAAGTCAAGAATGATTCATTTTGTACACATTCTTTTTATCATTATTTGATTGATATATATTTGTTAATTTGATTTTGAACAAGAAACCAAAGTCAAAATATCTGATTCCAAATGACCATCCAAGATTGTGTTGATTCAATGAGTGGAAGTTGATATCTCCATAAATTCTAAAAGAACAAGTTTCCTTCTCCTGAATGGTTTTCCAGGGTAAGAATATCTGGGATTGGAAGGGGGCCAGGAGGCCCCTGGGAAAACTTATGCTGAAGACCATTGTGTGTTACTCCTGCTCATGTGTCACCACACAAGACAAGAGTTTCATAGAGAACTACCACACCAATCTTAACATATGTGTATTTTGTCTTTAGATTTTTGTCTGCAATTTACCCACAGCTCTAGGCATGGAGTGGTTTGACTACTGTTCAGACCTTTATCTCACCTGTTCCTATTTACTCTTTCTATCACACTTGCTGAAACAGAATCAGCATGTGTAGTTTCTGTTATCTCTGGCTCAAATTTATGTGTATTTCACTATTCCTTGAGTCCAATTCTGCTCAAAACCCACAAGTTCAACTTCTGTAGTTAGTCCACTTAGTCTAGATCAGGGTGATCAGAAACACAGTTTCAACTGTTTTTCACCTTTCAAGCTGTTTGTGTGAAGAAATATCCCTGTGACTGCCATCTTTCCTGTAACTCTATTTTATAATAATTTCAACAATTAATGATGTGAAAGGGGGTCTCCTTCATGTTGGAGTAACACCATTCATATTTGCTGGAAAAAGGCAATAAAATAGTAGGTTGTTGAATGTCAGAGCTCCAGTGGGTAGTGTTGTGAATGTGAGCATGGCATTGCAAGGCTCATGATCTAATCCAAACTCCAAATCAATACATTCCACATAAAAAGTCTGTTGTTTGAGAGGGATGAATGCTGTTTGTTTTTGACAATGCAATGATAAATAGATGTGTTAGTCCATATTCATCATCATAATAGCATTAGCATGCTTTGTACAGTCCCATTAGTATGCTTTGTAAAGTCCCATTAGTATGCTTTGTACTGGCCATAGGTGTGGTGTTGGACTTATGGTGGTGATAATAACACAATACAGTAGTACTTGAGGGAGTATATCCACTTTCCTGAATCAAAACTTGGCTTGAGGCATGTTTGGCTTATTATTCAGCAATTATGGAATCCTAAACTTCATCTTTGAGACATTGCATGTTGGCAGATGAGGCCTAACTCTGCCAGAGAGCAAAATCAATAGAATATTTGTGTCCCTTAAATTAGACCACATTATTTGTCATCAACTGGCCATTGATAATGAGTGTCAAAAGATGATTGGAGGCTTTCCTCTGTTCCAAAATAGGAGCTCAAAATACTTGACCAAAGACTTTCAAACAGGTTGATGTGAAGGTATGTAACAACTGTCCTGATTATGTTTGATCAGTAGTACTAGGAAGAATTCAGCAGTGCTGGTCTGTCTCTCTCAAGATTTCTCATCAGTTATCAGATGTTCTCTGATTTCATTCACTGTGATTCAGATAAGATCATATCTCAACTGAACTAATTCAATTGGCAGATTTGACTGCTGTGATTAACCCAACAATCAATTCAAGTACATTATTACATAGCCTGTACACTATTCTTTCTGGTTTTGGGTACAGAAAGTGTGATTCTTTTACATCATGGTGGGATCAGAATTGTCTCTTGTATTCAAGGGATATCTTAACTTCAGAAATTGGTAATCCATCACCTTCCAGGTCTCACATCAAAAATCTCCTCTTCCACTGCATCTCAACATCTGCTATATCCCCAGTGCAGTCTTCCAGGGTTTTCTTTCATGATAGGTTCTATTGAGGTGTTTTGATTATTTCTCCACCTTCCAATAGGAAAATTGTAAGTACAAGCATAAAAACATTCACAACAAGCAAAGAAGCAAAACAAAACAAAAAAACCTGCAATAAAACATGGCGCAAAGGTGCGGCAATAACACATCCATGCTCGAGCAAGCTGTCAAGCTGGATCACCGGGCCTCGGAAGTGGTTGCGAGTCACGACACGTTTCATCTTGTTGGTGTAAAACCAGCCAAGCATTGTTTTGATCGGATCAGATGGAAGCTTCACCGTTGACCGCGAAGCGTGAATGGAACGGAGGCGTTGTGCCAGACGGAGCACCCACAACCGGCAGCTGTTCGGGTGGCGGGATCGACCTGGCGGTTTCGGATGGATAGATTGTTGTCAAGGGGTGTGCGAGGTGTGCGGTGGGCGGTTGGTTACTCGCTTCAACGGGTTTATGGGCATACACACTACCAGCGGTCCGCCGACGTCGGCACAAGCCCTGGTCTTCAAGGGGTCCAAGGTACCGGGTCGTACCCACGAAAGATATCCACGTTGCCTTGCTGAGCGCTTGGTAGGTTGCGCTGTTCATGGCATGCTTGATCCTGGGGTTTCGGACGTCACACTGTCCTTCCGCTACGCCAGCTAACGCCGATCCTGGCCGATCCTGCGGTTTTCCCCTCTTAGACGTCACGCCGCATTACGTTGGTTTCGTATGCATTTAGGGTTCTTTTTTTTCAGCGTCGGTTCTTTTTTTTCAACGTCGGCATGGTTCCTGAGGGATTATCATGTAGGACGTTTCATGCTTGCGGGATTTACCCAACTTTTTTTGATATTCCCACCATCGTGCGCTCTTTAGCGCTCTGTAGCTAACAGGAGACTCTGTAAGTCTGTAAGGATTCGTAAAGTTACGAATCCCTACCGAGCCTCTTTAGGCCCATCTTACAGAGGCTACATAGCACACTCCCGCATCCGCTTCCCCACCTCACCAGTCCTCTTATAAACAACCCATGTCTATCAATGACCGGTCTATTCCGGTCATCATGCACAAAACACTCCTCCAAGTTCAACAACCAATACCAACCAATATTCCCTTGATGATCGGTCTATACCAGCGGTCAAGAAAAACATACTCCATCAACAGATGCTACCAACCGGTCATTGAGAAGAGACCTCCACTCAATGTTCGGTCTATAACAGTCATCTGGGATAAGATGCTCCCTGATTGACTGGTACCAACCGGCCATTGAAAAGAGAGAACAACCTCCCTTGATGAGTGCTATCAACCTTTTGTTGAGGAGGGTACAAAACCCTTATTGAATGGTACTCTCCTAAATGACCAGACCGGTCATTAAGGGAGGTTCTGTTCTTTCCTCAATGACCGATTGTTGCCGGTCCTTAAGGAGGGTGTGCTCCGATGACCAGTTGGTGATGTGTGTAGTGCGTTCTTTTAGCTAATTACTAGATACCAGTTGGGCACGAAGGTGGAGTAGCCCTCGGTAAGATTAATCAGCTGGCTAATGAGCCGCTTACAGATGGATGAGGGTGGGTTTGGTTTGTAGTTTAACAAAAGAGGTCTGTAGGCCTCCTTAGCTACCTAACGATTTACTCCAACGGGGGTGGATGCTCTAACTTAGCTAAGTCCCTGCCCTCCTTTGTCGGAGTGGTAAACCACTTTCGGAGGGTCCCTGCGGGACGGCGTCCCCCCTCCACTGGGAGGGACTTAGTTAAGTTAGCATCCACCGTCACCTTCACACTCGAACATTCAAACCACTCACAGCACATCGCACCCCCAACAACAACAACAACAAGAGCAGGAGGAGGATGGCACAAGAATCTGGACGAGCATCTATTCATGAGGCTCTACACAGCTATCTCACTTCAAATGGGATCGAAACGGCCGAAAAGTTCTTCGAGGGTGGTCAGGATCGTAAGCCAAGCACTGCATACTCACTCATCAACCCATGTATGTAACCTGCAACGACCATCTCAGATAAATATATTCTTTGCCAGAAATCAAAAAACGGCTCTTGCTTCTTGGAGTGGAAATCACGATGCACTCCTGCCTCGTTGACAAATTAGACGGCTATTGGATGACAGATGGAATCAAAAGAATATCAGAATTGGTGACCGTCGACGAATTCAAGACTTACGAGCCTCTGATCACCTACATCCTCCTCAACCAAGCCCAATCCGATCAAGAAATCCTTCAGCTCATCAACAAACAACACAGCGAGCCCCCAACGCCACCAGTGTCCACCCCGGTGAGCACTGGATCCGGCCTCATCGATTCTTCGGCCGCGGACTTCGTTCCTATCCTAGGACGGGAATTGGGGGAATTGCTGTACACAAATGTCCAAGGTCTGCTGGACCATTTCATCGACCCACGACACATCGATCCCACTCACCGGAAACGTACTAACGCACGATCTGTATTTATTGATGAAAAGCGTCAAGAATCAGACACCTTGCAGGGCTCTAGGTTGAGGTACATCTCTTCGTTCGCCGCGCACTTGGTCAACCAAACAACGCCCAAGAATCCGATGTCTCGTATTTGGCGCACTCGACCTCACACGCGTTTGGAGGGCGTTGATGGGACGCGTATGGTGGATGGTGCGATCATGTCCGGGGTCAATGCAACCCAACAAACCTATCACATTCGAGATGTTCTGGTCCCTTTCGCGCTCAAGAAGGATAAACAGGACCTCACAAAAGCTGTGATTGGCTTGGGCAAATATGTCTGCGAGCTCTTCAAAGCTCAGCCCACCCGAAGCTTTGTCGTTGGAGTTACTGTGCTCGAAAGCTCGATTCAGATCTGGCAGTTCGACAGGTCCGGGGCCATCGGCTCTGAACCAGTCGACTTCAAATCGGACAGACCAAACATCGAAAAGTTCCTCGATCTTATGCTATGTTTCTTAACATGCAACAAGGAACTTCTGGGCTTCGATCCGACCTTCATTGAGGCTCAAGACCGTCCTGCTGTGCTACGAATCAAACCCCAGAATGATGTTAATCAAGAACTCGAAATAGAGCCCAGACCGGTCTTCCGAGCGTCGGGAATCTGCGGACGCGCCACCACCTGCTGGAAAGCGCATCCTTCTGGAGATAAGAGTCAAGAATTCCTGATCAAAGACTCGTGGCAACCCGAGCAGCGGCCAAAAGAAGGCGAAATGCTTCGCATCGTGACCGAAAAGAAAGTACCACATGTGGCCCGATATCACCATCATGAAGACGTCTGCGTCGACGGCAAAATGGTCGACATCAAATCACATCTTCGGAGGGGCGTCGACTTCCAAAATTGTGAGAAGCTCACAAACAAGGAAAAGCCCACCGATCTAAATGTGCAAAATGAGTTTATCAATCGGGTCCATCGACGATTGATTCTCAAAGACGTGGGGAAGCCCATTTGGACAGTTGGTTCTCCGCTTCGTCTGTTGGAGGCCCTCGAGGGCTGTATCATCGGACATCAGGCCTTATTCGCAGCAGGATATCTTCACAGAGATATATCGGCCAACAATCTCATGGTGAATGACCAGGCAGACGATCCACATTACCGATCCTTCCTCATCGACTTAGACGGCGCGATTCACCGTTCTATGTCAAGCGGTGATGAACGCCACACCAGAACCGGCACAAAAGTGTTCATGTCGATCAGCTTGCTTAGAGGAAGAAACCCCCACACTCCTGTGGATGACCTGGAATCCTTCTTTTGGGTCTTGGTATGGATTGGTATCCATTACCCCAAAGATCAAAGGAACACGATCTCTGAATTGGCCTCGTGGAATCAGCAGATCCCGAAACACCTAGCTGGCATCAAGAACGAATACCTCACCGTACCCCGCGACCTTACGAATCTTTTCACAGCTCAATACCGTGAAAAGCATCTCTCCGACTGTGTCATCAGGTTCGCCCAACTGATGAGCAACCAGAAGATCCGAGGCTGGGAATACCAAAGACTTTATGAAGAAATATTAAGTATTTTGCGACAGGCGCAAGGAAAGCTGCGCGAGCAAGAAACGCTGCGTGAGGAAGAAAAGCTGTGTGAGGTCCAGGAAGAAAAGAAAAGCCGGACTGGGAAGAAGAGAAAAAAAGCTGCAGAAAACAAAAACTGCGTCGAGAAGATTCAGAGAAAAGCTGCATAGGGACAGTTATAAGTGTAAGTAGGTCCAGTACTCTTCCTTCGCCTCGATTGGCTAGCCCCCATGACCCGAACTTTCATCTCCAGGATAAGGCTGTATTTTGTTTTATTCAGATATTATCATCGTTCCCCGCCATAGATCGCCGACCCCCCATGGATGTACGGATTCTTCTTCCTTTTGAACCGTGTGGTATCTCTTTCTCCCAATCGGTAGATCACACTATATTATCGTTCTTGTCTTTTTCGCTCTGATGATATCTGCAACCACCATACATCATATTTTTTGTCGTTTTATCGTAAATCTTACATGTACATACTCCAAGGCACCAGCGTTGTTGACCACCACAGCTATACTCTGCAATACGTGGTGCAACCCTAATGTTTTTTTAATGATTGCGATTTGAGTCAGATTATCAGTACTCTGTTTGATGTTCTTAACCTCAGACTAAGCGCTAATATAGCCATCCAGCTTGGGCATTCGGTTCCTTCCTTGCGCAGGAGTGTGTTCACTGGGCACGAGTGTTGACTGGGGAATGAGTGGTCGGGGTTTTTTTTTTGTTTAATGCTGAGGCTTAGATTTTTGGATTTCGATCATCCACTCTTCTGAATCTGAAATGCTCCTCATGTACTTCTTCCGATCATCAACTTGAGACCCAAGACCAACAAACAGGCCATACTCAGGAACTCAGATACTCCTCAGATGCGAGCGAAGGCAATCCTGAGTTGATCAAGACCGCCAACAGCCCATCATCGACTCAATCATCAACCAACTCAAGCACAAACATCCTCAGTTGAGTAGAGGATTCCAACAAGAAAAACAAAATCAAAACTAAACCATAACACTCTCTTCTCCATATAACAGGCCCATCGACCAGGGTTACGGTGGCAACGACAGTTGGTGGTAGAAATATTGATGCTAATTTCTTTTTGTTCGGGATACTGACAAACAAACAGTAAAGATGAATCGCCGTGACAACTAACGGTATTGGTGTAAATGCAGTAATGGTTATCATGCGTATAAGTTCAATGGAGTAGAAAAAGGTGGATACAAAGAAAGAATGACGCGTCGCTCATGGAAAGAGGACATCAAAGTCCAAAGTAGCAATTCACCGCTGGTACAAGTGTCGAAGGGGGTTGTATATGAACATCAACATCAACACCAACAAACTGAGAAAATCACTTGTCTCGACCGGGGGTTGTGCTAGTAGGGGCAGCCGCGGTGGGGTGTTGACCGGTCTTGAAGTTGTGACCGGTATGCTGCTCGGATTTTGACTTGATTTTGTTGCCCTTAAGTTTCCCGTAGGCAGTCTTAGCCTGGACCTTGTACAACGAATCCATATAACTTGCAGGGACTGGTAGTGATTCAAAAATGACAGTTTATTTAGGATCAGCGACTCGATGGGCATCATATTGCGCAACAAAGCTTGGAGAGAGTGATGATGAAAAATCAAAAACTTACAATGATCGTGTAATATGGGCACGAGGTAAGTAACAGCCCACATGCTGAGCTGCACAATATCCCTAGGCATTATAAACTTGGAGGTCTCTCGGGCGCGAGCAAACTCGTTCTCCGATTCGTCCGCCTTCTTGTAGACTTCGACATTATGACCAACGGGTGCATCTTCGATGCGATAGAATGGCGGACCTAAGGCGTTGGGCTACAGCGCAAAATGAAGCACGACAGAAGTCACAAGCAACGGGGAATTGAGTACGAATCCGGACCCACAGACGAGTCCCCTTAAAGGACCACTTACAGTCAAGTCAACACGAGTGCCGATGGCAGCATAAGCATAGTAACTGCCCTCCTGAAGCCCGCATCTAATTTCCCTCTTGTCAGCAAATCCAGGAGGGACGCCTACATAAGATTTCGAAGAATTGAAGACATCGGATAAGAAAAAGATACTTTTATGCTTCCGATGACTAAAATTAATCAAGCTACTCACGAGTTACGACATCGCCAATGATTGGGGATTGGGCTCGGTTGGCTACACGCCATAGTTGCCTGCCTTGGTTCATGGGCTTGTTCATGTTAAAATCGACTCGGGACGCCAGTTTGAAATCACATGCACGTGGAGTTCCGAATACGTAGCCATCTCTCAAGACTACCTGGTCTCCCAAATCATCGGGGGATTCCAAAAACCTCGCGTATAACAATTGGGCAATGCCTGCTCCGAGTCTAAGGCCAGGGCAGATGAGAGGTAAGCATCGACTACTTCGTAACAAGCCCCAAACGCGATACTTACGAATGTCCCCCCACGTATAAGTTGGTTTTCTTGGCCCTTCCATACTTTTGCTGAGTATACTCGGCAGCTTGACCGGCAATCATTTTGATAGTTTCGACGATGCGCACTGGGGAGCAAGATGAACAAAGTGCAATGCGTGGGATCAACGGACTATCGCTTAGATGTAGCGCTTGGATGTAGCGATGATGTTGCGCAAAAAACTACATTCAAATTGTTCCTTATCTTGCAAAAGGAATGCTTACTGTATGGGAGGACATGAGCATCCGAGGTCTTGGAGGGAAACAAGGTGTTGTAAAAGCCATTGTGAGCAAGACCGGTCGCAAGGAAGTCGCCGGCGGATTCGAACTTGCAGGCACAGTCCATGAGCCACTCGGAGAAATTGTCAGGACTAGTTCCCTTCATCACAATCACGATGAAAGGGTTCTCGTCGGCGCCAACTTTCTCATAATCGTAGAAGGCTCCAGCGAAGGGACCAGTGAGTTTGCGAAAATCTAATCAAATCAGAGGAATGGGGGGTGTTAGTTCCAAGTGCCAGCATACAGCATGGTTTCTCGAGAAACAAGAGTTTGATTACTGACCGGCCATGGAGACAAATCTCAAGTCCCATAGGTAACCTGCGCGGTACATGTACTCTTCACTCTTCAACAAGTACAAGACCCCCTCGTTAGGTTCCGAGGGAGAGTCGCTGTCACCGAGTGATGGCCTCGAGATGGCACCGCTAGCAGCCTTTTCAACAAATCGGACGTCTCTCTCGTAGACGATCGAGCACATCAACAAGATTGAGCGGGCAACATCAACGTTGAATTGAAGTTTGCGTCGTTTACTGTGGGGATCATCAATTTTCGTGGCGGGCTCGAAGCTCGGCAGTTCACTGCAAAACGCTTCACGAGCATGTTTGATGATCCTTTGTTTGCGATTGAAAATATCTGGAGAAAAGTGATCAGTTGACCGGGGTGCGATAAGCGAAGGTGAAAATCGCTTTTTTTTAATACGTGACAAGGGGAAAAAAGGCGTACTGATGTTAAGCCAATTGATCGGACTCCAACCGGCGCCTTGACGATCACCAAGCATACGTATAAACTTTCCAATACCCAACACGTGTGCTGAATGCAGAAGGGTTGTAAGTATCAAGAGGCGGATGAGCCATTGTCGGTTGGACTAATGCGCAAGTAACAACCAGAACCAAATCCCTGGACAAACCAATCAAGAAAGCCACATTGGCCACAAATAAGAAGGAATATACTGATCCAAAATAGGCAACCATGTAGAAGACGTTGAAGGGCCTGGTGATGAGCGCGAATGGGGCACCACAGAGAAGGACGAAGGAAGACCATCCAAGTGAGGCGGCAGATTCGAGGAGGCAGTAGGTTTGAGTAGCCTTAATCTGGGAGCTAAAGGTTTGGCGCTTCTTGCTGGCACGGATGATATCGGTGGCATGCTGGGAAAGCACGACTTTTTGAAGTTGGGAGAGTGAATTCCAGATCTTTTGCAAAACAAATGCCAAGAAGTAAAACCCATTAGAATAGCACACACGAGCGCTGAAGATGCAAACACGGAAACAGAAGAGGTAAATGAAGGCAGCTTACATTCAAATAGTAGGCCTTTTCATCGTCGCCGCCCTTACTCATTTGTTTCCATTGTTTGGAATCGTGATACCTGAATGGGCAATCGTCTGGCAACTCATCTCGGTCGGCTTTGGAGTGCTCCAAGGCCTCATCCATGGTAGGGATCTTCATGATAGCGGCTAGAAACAAAAAAAAACAATTCAACAATTCAATAAGGTCAAAAAAAGAGGGGGCAGGTTGCGAAGTCCACAAGGTGAAGGATAAGAGTTCTAGCACGCTTCAATGGGTAATAAACATAACGAAACAAGAAGAAGGTAAGCGGTAAGGTGGAAGAGGTAGGACGATATCAAAGGGTTCGTGTTCCACAATTTCCACATGGGCCGAAAACCAAAACGAACCGAAATTAACATTTAGGCTCAAAATGCAGCAGCCAAGTAAGTGACGATGACATGGAGGAAGGACAAAAGGCCTAGCAAGCTAGTGCGAGCCCATTCGGCTTGAAAGATGTTTCGCGGGGGACAGAGGATGCCAACAACTATGACTACAGCTAACAGCTATAAACCACCAATGCAAGAACGGTGCTGACCACAAAGGCGTGATAACCCAGGTGATAGAAAGAGCTTTCGCTCATGAAATCACGAAATCATCAGCAAGAACAAACTCACGCTGTTAGGGGGTTTGAATGGGATTGTTCGAGGGGAAGCAATTCGGTTCAAGGGAGACACAGAATTTCGTATCAGCGGATGGCGGACAGAGGGGAACACGGCCAGTGGCTGGTCGAGGGCACTCTTTATATATGAAAGCAGGTAACTTTTTTTTTTGCTCTCTCTCTCTCACATCGGACTGGATTGGACCCTTGTGCTGATTATCGGAAGAAAGAATTAGAAGGTTCATCCTGATTTCTGCTCGTGCCGGTCTCTGCTAAACTCTGCTGACGGTTTTCCATGACGAAAACCGGGTAGGGAGGGAATGCACGCGAAGCTGGTGAAATTCCTGGAGAAGTCCAGGCGAATCGAGCTCGAACGATCAGTCAGCCAGAGGAACGTCATCATCCGTCTGAGAGGAGAAGGGATCAATCAAAGAGATCATCATATAAAGAACGAATAAGCCAGTCTTTTGCTCGTCTGAAATTCATCTTCGGCTCTGGTGAGAAGCGAGATGACAGTCACTCGAGTCCAGAGCGAGAGCCTAAACTGAGGGGAAAGATTCATTTAAGTGACATAGCCAACCCACACGTGAAAATCCCCACGAGCCGGCCAGAGTACATAATACGTGATTAAGGAAGTGAAGGATCATGTCGATCGCTTGGAAAGCTGAAAAGAAAAAGAAGGCAGCGGCTGTTTGAAGAGCTCCAACCGGCCGCAACTTGCTGCTGTGATGCAAGAAGCCGCGACGAAGGTTCGGTCACTTGACCTCTGAAAGACAAATCAGCTCACTTTGTGACGACAAGAGGCGCAGTTCAACGGCCGGCTTGAAATACAAGCTGATGGATCGATCGATTTCAGCTTAATGGCTGTCTGCCTTCTTTGGCTTTCCTCGTCATTTCCAGAACTGAATGGATCACTGATGGATCCAGAAATACAGTTCCTAGTCTGAGAGAGAGAGAGAGAAGGATGAAATAAGAGGATCGAATGGAAAAAAGCCATATGAATATAGTGTTTTAAGACGTTGGCCAATTCGAAACAGCTGCAAGAATTTTCATCTGAAAACCACTATACCCATCCTATGACAGTGAGATGACTTGCAAGTTGCACTTATGACTCTGGAGATGGCGATCGGCTGGTGGATAATCTGGGGTCCGGGTAATCTTCAGATTGAGTCCTGCTCGCGTCTATGATTGAAGTCCCTTCCAAATTGATCAGGGGTATTTAAAAATGTATTTGCGGGCAATCCATCCAACAGGATGCTTGCCATCAACGGTTATCTCGTCTTGGCAGACAAAAGATCGACTTGCACTAGTCAGTCCACCTGTCATTCTGCTCCAGGCTTTCGATTGATGGGTCCATGGTGTCAGTCTTCCGCCCGGCGCGGTCCCCGGATGTCCCGCCGGCACCGGCGGGGCGTCTCTGGCTAGGTAGTGCTATTCCTTGCAAGTGCAAGCTTTCGAATCCCTTCGAATTGTTGGTAGACAAATCGAATAATTTAAAAAGATGAAAAATGTATAGACCTTCTGCAGGAAACCTCAGAAAGAGCTTCCTTTCTCTGGTATGGAGATATGCACCTCAAGTTTTACGACAAGAGAGAGAGAAACAAATAATTCGGTGTATCAAAAATGGGGTCGGTAAGCAAAAAAAAAAACATCCGAAATGTTAGGTTCGAGAAAACGAAATTAAGAGAAGCGCGCGCCGGCATATTTTTTGCAATATTGGTATCAAGACAAAGGTCGACTTGAGACTGCTCTGTGACAATATATTTAGATATTTATGTGATTTTTTTGGACTCGTGTTTTGATGGGTCAAAGTGGAGGATACGGATCACAACGCTTCTTTCGTCCACCCATCGAAGGACCCACTAGACAAAAGATGGGGTAGTTCTTTTTTTTTTTTTTGACAATTGGCGAAAAAAAAAAAACATTAAGTTCGAAGCGACAAGTCAATATCGCAGAGAACGCACGAGATCTTGCACGGGAATGGAGAGCGACCCGAGCGGAACGACGGGCGGCAATCTCTCGCACCCGAATAAGCCCTGCGGGCCGGTTCCAAAAGCAAACGGAAAGATACATACATAATAGACTTGCCGGGGAGCGAGCCCTATCAACGCGGGTGTCCGCGTGAAGCCCTTTCGGCCGAGAGAGGCTAAAACGAAGTGCTCGGCTTCACTCCGCTAATTCAACTCGAGCAGTTCATATGCTTGATTTGCTTGGAGATGATGACCCAGATAAAATTGACTCGAAAAAAGTGCTAGTCGATCAGAGGAAAGTTGATAGCAGCGAGAGGACGGATACCACTGGTTAGATATAAAGCTTTATTACAAATGTAAATTATAAAGGATTTTTCATCCTGCCCCCATTTACATCGTGCTATTCTAAGAAGGCTCAGAGTTAAGGCGCCAGAAGGCTTAAGTCAAGGTGCTGTCAATTCTCCTGCCAGATTCCTAATGCTTTGCTGGGGTTCCCCTCATCTTTTCCGACTTGTCGAAGTTTTTGTTGGTCCTTTTCTTCTTTTCTCCTGGGTTTCAAACACTCTCACTCTTAAGCATCCATCTTATATTTCCTATGTCACCCACTCCAAATGCAGCTGTTAATTTCCTGATTGGCTTCCTCTCTTATTCCCTTATTATCTCTAACTTGTGGTTTATTTCAGCGCTACTCCTTTTGTGAATTTTGCAATTCAGAATCCGTTGAATTGTTTCATGATCAACTCCTGAATTTGAGAATGAAATATAGGGTATATGGTATTCAACCTATTCCGTCTTCGGATTCCGAAGTTTGTTGATTTCGCCTGTAGATATGGAAGCTGGTGGTTAGTGAATTCACCTTGTCAAAGATTCGGTGAGCCCATGAGGAGATGACTGACGTAAAGTGAGTCGAACAACAGCAGGTTGGTAGTTTGAGGGGTCATTCTGCTCCTGAGGCTGCATTCGGACATCGGCTTGAACATGGACCAAAGAACTGCGATGTAGATTCCGAGACAGAGAAACTTATTAGACGGCGAAAGTAACGATCGATCGGATTAGTGATGATTGACAAACCCTTTCTTGAACTCTGCCAAGTATTTGTTTAGTCCTGCGTTGAAAGAAAGTACATCGTGGAAGGAACTGGTAGGTTCTACAACAAATTAGAAGCAACGAAAGAGATTGTTGTCATGTTAGTTTCTCGGAGGAAAAAAATAGAATCAAGCTTAGAGTTGTGTATGCGAACAGTGCCTTACCTTTTCCAGCTTCCCTAGCTTCACGTCCCAGCGGGTCAGCAGTTGCGACTTTCAATGCGACCATCGGTTCCTTGTCTCCCCCCCGCTCGATCACTCTTGCATCTTGAACCAAGTTACCAATCAACGTCAGTCGTGCGTAATTCCTCGTTGATATGGTCTGGATCGGATTCCTCTGGATACTGCTTCTGACTGTGTGTGATAGACCTCTCGATAGTGGTGCTGACATCTTGTTCTGGTCCAAAGTTGATGGTCGCTTGTTGGTTGAAAATAACCCAATCTGCTCGTCTGGCGTCTGGCGTCTGGCGTCTTGGCGGGCGAGGGCGCGCAGCCGCGCAGCCACTAGAATACTAAAATCCAATATCTGACCTGTGAAACCCCATTGTGTGTCTGGTGACAGGCTGGGAACATGTGCACATGAATTTTTATTGAGCACAAAGACATCTGAACTTTGCTGATCATCAAAAAAAAACAAAAAAACATTGGGATTCACGAGCATCATGAGCGACGAAGAGGAGTAAGTGAGTTCCACTTGAATAACAAAAAATATCAGATATATTGATTGAGCCCTGCCTGACCGATAACTCACCCAGACAGCCGCTGAATGGCACACTTAATTTAACCAATCCATGTCTCCCAACCCCAAGCATCACCAACAAAGACGACGCGAATAGTGAGTAAATTTTATGTTTCCCTTGACCTTGAATAATCCAATTTTACTTGATCTAACGTGAATTTGTATGTGTGTGCTTGGTCTCCAGCTATCAAGATATTAGTGGCCACCGATAATCACATAGGGTACGCTGAATCAGATCCCATCAGAGGTCAAGATTCCATCAACACATTCCGGGAAATCCTGCAGTTGGCTGTTGACCATGAAGTAAGCAATACCCCTGATTAGATTAAGCTGAAATCTCCACCACTCATGTAGTCTAATTTTCCCGTGGATATACATTTGCGGTATGCAGGTTGATATGCTCTTACTAGCTGGCGATCTATTTCACGAAAATCGGCCTTCAAGAGCTTCATTATACTCAACAATAGCCTCTCTAAGAGAATACTGCTTAAATGATCGACCGGTTCGGATTGAACTAATCGGCGATTCCGGTATCGGAATCCCACACAGCTTCAAGTCAGTCTTCCGATCATGTAGCTTGTTACAGTTATTTCCTTCCCCATCAACTACTCAAACTTTTCTTCTTCAGCTTTCCTCCCGTGAATTATGAAGACAGAAACCTCAATGTTGGCTTACCCGTGTTTTCAATCCATGGTAATCACGATGATCCACAGGGAATGGGACCGGTAAGAACCTGATACCCTGAGAGATGCTGCGCTCTCCAATGAGATTCACTTACCGGTGTTTTTATTTTGAAAATCAAGGAAGGCGCTCTCTGTGCTTTGGATGTTTTGTCGGCGTCTGGACTGATCAATTACTTTGGCCGACAAGAGCTACCTGGGGGCGCTCAAAGAGACGAAGAAGCGTTGGAAGAAGGCTTACACATACAGCCTGTCTTACTACAGAAAGGAAGGACTCGTTTGGCGATGTACGGAATCGGCAACATTCGAGACGAGCGGTTTAACTATGAGATGCGTAGTAATCGGATTCGCATGTCGAGGCCAGCCGAATTTAAGGAACAATGGTTCAACCTCATGTTGGTACATCAAAACCGGTAAGCAGATGGTTGAAAGCTCTGGGATTGAAGAAGATCACAAATTGAATTCCCGAAAAAAACAACGCGGGCGTTATGATGAACATGTCGGTCAATTTCATCACTTATTCTACTTGTACTTTTCTTCCTCAGCGTCGCACACGGACCAAAAAACTTTGTACCGGAAGATGGATTTGGCGACGACATAGACTTGGTAATCTGGGGCCACGAGCATGATTGTCTAATTACTCCCCAAGAAATTCCAGGGAAAGGTTACTTTATCACGCAGCCCGGATCTAGCGTAGCGACAAGTTTGGCCAAAGGCGAATCCATCAAAAAGTGAAGCCATTTCTTGCTCAGTATCAAACTCGACCTCGCATCTGTTCTCGCCTAGTGAATGAATATAAACTTAATTTCTTTTTCGTAAATGGATGTTTTTTGTTTGATGTTTGGTAGACATGTCGGGATTCTGGAAGTGCAAGACAAGGATTTCTCTCTGCTTCCGATCCCTCTGAAATCTGTTAGGCCATTTATTTTCGACGACATTGTTCTAGCTGAACACGAAGAAGAGGCCAAGCTCAAGCTTGACGAGAAGCCCAAAGTTGTCCGATATCTCAAGTCATTGGTCAGTGCACAATATTCCACATTAGCCGAAACCCCAGTTACTGAAACACGTGCATTTGCCTTCCTTTGGCGGTCTGACTTATTCTGATATATTCATGTCAGGTAGAGCAATTGATCAAGAAAGCGACAACTGACTGGAATGATGAACACGATTATGATCCGGATTCGCCCCCAATGATGTTACCTTTGATAAGACTGAGAGTCGGTAAATTTTACTAGCACAGCTCCTGAAATCTTCGGATTAGTAGGAGTCCAAGCGTAGTAATTTTCGATTTTACGGTGCAGGTTGAATATTCCCGCGCAGACGGGCTGTCGGCCTACGATGTCGGGAACCCTCAGCGATTTGGACAAGATTTCTTGGGCAAAGTGGCGAATCCAAAAGACTTGGTACAATTCTATCGACGTAGAAAGATCGGCCCGCGTACGTTCATTTCAGCGATTTTGTACCCAAGTAGTTTCCAAGCGATTTTGTACCCAAGTAGTCTCCATCAACTGATTGGATGTACTTGAATTGATTGATATAGGCAAACCGAAGAATGATATTGACTTGCCGGAGGAAGAGGAAATTGAAGACTCTCAAGCAAAGGCGCCGGAAAAAGTTCAGGTTGCAACTTTGGTTCATCAATACTTGGAGGCCCAGAATTTGGGCGTACTGGCAGAAAATGGCATGCAAAGAGCTGTCACATTATTTGTGGAGAAAGATGATAAGGATGCCATCAAGGAGTAAGCCAACAGTTTCGTTTAATTCCGCAGTGGGCAAACCAAGACCGTTCGGACGTAGTGCGAAGCGGACTGCTGATAATTTCCAAATATGTGTATTTTTTCTCTCTTACTCGCACCACCAGGTTTTACCACAACGCACTTGAAGCGACCCAGGCCCATGTCAAGGGTTCTAAAGCAGATATCGGAGGTAGCCGCCAGGATAGAAATCCTGAAAGTGAGGACGAAGAGCTTCTCGGGGAGCTAACAAAAGCAAAAGAAAGCTACGCCGACACATGGGAAAAAAATCAAAAAGATGAACTTACAACACAGAAAGTGAGTGGTACATAGCCGGACAATAATTCCCATTTAAGTTGGCTGCAATATCTATACTTTCGTATCCACCCTGCTCACGTTTTCTTGAGATGCGTACCATTTAGGGCAAAGGAAAAGCTGTCCGCAAGGCAAAGCGAAACGACGATGATTCTGATGAAAGTGATTTTGGGAAAATGTCAGATGTCCGGTATGTTGATGAATCTGATAATGGCGACGTGAGTTCAATTTAACAATAAATTCATGGCGAGTGGACGGAAGATTGTCAACCGAAGGCTCTGTGCCGAAGAGCAAGTTCAGAAGCTTATCTTACCTTGCTTTACTTAGCCTGCCGGACAGTCCGATTCCGATATCAGTATCCGTGCCTCCGTGGCCCCGAAAAAAAAGGCACCAGCCAAGGCGGCACCGGTGAAAAAAGCGCCAGCCAAAAAAGCGTAAGTTTTGTGTGATGCTCCAGGAAATGATTGCTTATGTCAATTAATCGACTGGAATTCCTTACAGCGCGCCAGCAGCAAAGGCACCTCCTAAACGCGCAGCTACCAAAACCGCCGCTACATCTAGTCGGAGTAGAGCTGCCGCATCTCAATCACAGACTACATTGGATTTCTCTCAACAAGCCCCGCTGCGAGGCGCTAGTAGACGGTTAGTTCCAATCCCTTCTACCCCAATTGGCTTTCTTTCTCCCCCTCCCTCAGAAAAAAGGATATCCACTTGAGCTGCTCGTGATTGTCGGACTTTTTTTTCTTTTCAGTACTGCTGCCTCCCAAAGTAACCCTCAAATGGTGTCGGATGATAGCGATGATAGTATTGAAGTTTCCACCCAACGAAAGACCGCCAGTCGATCTCGTCGCTAAAAGCTGTACCACTTGACCCTCAGGCCTCATACATACGTAACCAACGATGGGTCGGTTTTTCTTCTCATAGAAAAGAAAGACTGAAGTATGCATATGGCCCAACTCTTGCTTTCTTTCCAACTCTTACCTTTACCAAATCTGTATTAGTCATTTTAACTTCACGCCAGCCAACCACGACATACGATTTCTCAGTTGAGGATGGATTTGTTCTGATCAATATATACCACCACCATCAGATTGAATTTGTACTCTTGAGAAGGAAGAGATTGATTGTAGCTAGATACATACCACAATTCATTGGTCTCTTGAACAAGAACATGCAACCAAGAGATGGCAGTTGATGAGATGTACTGGAGCAGAACCAGGTTTAATCAGTTCTCTAAATCGTGACTTGAGAGCTGGGTGTTCACGTTTTACTTGCCTGAATGATCAAGAGTTCATACTCAGCATGTATCTGATGTGGAAAGCAAGCCTTTTTAATATCCAAGTTATCTTAGTTATGCTTGTGCTGCCATAAGAGCTTTGCCATGCCCTTTCTCAGTAACTCCTCCCTTCCATACATCTGCCTCGCCCACCCTTTTTTTTTTTTTTTTTTTTTTTTAAGTGCTATTGATTTCACATACCGCACTATCTATCTAGTTTATGTTATGGACATACAAAAATATCTTCTAGTACTAGGAAATAACACGTCATAGATCAAAAGAGACGAGACCGTGTTGTAGCGAAATACATAATATTTAGTAAAACATTATGTATCACTACAGTAGACGTCATGAATTACATTCACAACCGTCTCGACGAATCATCTTTCTTTTTCATCATCTCTTCTCACGATGTTTTCTTTACATAATCATGTAGTATAAATAAGCTTGTATTTCACTACAAGATTATGTTTTTCCTTATGCAATCTAGTTTCCTAGCTTTTCTCATCCTTCATTACCTACTCGTGCCTCTTTAGGTTATGAGCCTCTCTGCTACTTAATAGGAGGCATAGTTTTTTTAATTCCTTTACCTTTATAAAGCCTGTGTGGCGTGCGTCTCCGGTGTGAATCTCTATCTCTGTGTGAATATAGTGAGCCTGTGTGGCTTTGACCTTGTGTGGTCGTGTTAAATTTTTTGTGTACGCTTAGTATCTACCTTACTGTGTGTGTGTGTGTGTGTGTGTGTTGTTTTCCCCTTCCTCGTTCGGCTATTCCCATATTCTCGCCATACCTTTTTTTTTTCCTACATCCTCTTCATCCATTTTTTTCTGTATCACCATTTTATCACCGAATTTTTTTTCCGCAACCTTTTCCTTTGTCACTGTTTTTTCTGTTCCCTTGCGTGTTCCAAAGTTTTCCATCCACTTCACTGTTTTCTTTTGACCACTTCCCTTCTGTTTTCAAATCCTCTCTCCTGTCGCCATGTCTCTTCAACGTACCCCTCCTCCTGGTGTCACTACCCGTGCCGGTGCTCGCCGCCAGGCTGCCTCCCGCCATATCTCGGACGACGAGCATGAAGAAACCTTCATCAGCCAACCTGCTTTGGGCGACGGCGATGTCACCGATGGTCCCCCCCCTCCAGCCGGTACTCTTCCTCCCAGCATAGATCACCGGACCGAGTCGGCTCTGATCCGGGATGGTACCGCCAGGTTTTCCGACAACTACCTTCGTTCAGATGGGAGCAATTATTGGGTCTGGCTTCGCGAGCTTACGGAGGTGGCCTTTTCTTTTCTGCGGGATGAAAGGTTCTATGTGTCGGATCGCCGTGGCCATCCCCTTGAGCGCGCTGCTCGTGGCATCCTCCTTGGCTCTGTGGACACCTCCATTCGGTTCGACCTCTACGACTTTACTCGGAGTGATGCGATGTTGAGGGCCATCAAGGGCCGTTTTGGCACTATCAGCAGGGCGACGCAGCTGTCCCGTTGGAGGGATCTCTTTCACTTAGCCATCACTGCGGACACCAATGCTAACGAAGTGTCTTCCCTTTATCGTTCTCGCTTCGATGATCTTTTGGCTTCCGGAATACCTCTTTCACGGGACGCCATCCTTGGTCTCATTCTACAGTCCTCCATTCCCCATGGCACAGATCTTCGGAACGAGTTCGACCAGCGAATGGACATGGAGCTCTCCTGGAACAACAATGCTGCTCCTCGTTTCGATCGGGTGATTGACCTCTTGGCTGCCAGCATCTCCCGGTTGAACGTCCGTGCTAGGGACCGTCAACGGGACATGGCCCCACAGATGATGGCGGCGGATGCTTCCGTGCAACGGCGTTCTTCAATTGAAAGCCACCCCGGTAACGTCTATGGTCTGGCAGGACGACCTGAGCAACGTTCGGAGAATCGTCTCAGGACCTGTTTCCGCTGCGGTTCTACTTCTCACCAGATTGCTGACTGTGCCGAGCCGCCCCGCCAGCCCCGCCAACCCCAGTCTCACAGCTATCGTGCCCACCCAGACCAGTTCACGGCCCACTATCCTATCATCACCCCGCCGACGGGTTACCGTCAGCCTGCCCCACCTCGTCCTCCGCCCAACCCTGCCCAAGCTGCCCCGGCGCCCGGTTTGAGACCGGCTGACTCCTATCGCCCGGACTACCGAAGAACGGGTGGACGCCCCGCCGCTCGCCAGGCTGAAATCATTGATGAAAACTCGCCCGCGCCCCCTGAAGATTCAATGGACTACGAGGAGGTCCCGGGTCCAGCCCCGGAAGCTCGCAATGCCGAGTTCAATTTTCCGTCCCCCCCGCCCGAAGCACTGTTCGATACTGGGGCCACTCATCATTTGAGTGGTGATAAGTCAGCGCTTCACCATCTTCAGTTACTGTCTAAGCCTATCCCTTTGAAAGTCGCAACTAACACTTCCTCCCATTTTATCACTGCGGTCGGCACTCTAGTTTTCCATGGGCCGAATTCAACTCTTATAGAGCTTAAAGGGGTTCTATATTGTCCCGACGCCACCAATACCCTCATTTCCCCAGCAGCCCTGCGACTTGCCGGCTTTACCATGTCCTACGATTGCCGCGACGATTCTTTCAACATTTTCTCGGGCCGGACCCTGTGGGCCAAGAGTGTTTTGAATCCTCGAAGCCGCAAGTGGCTTTTTCCTCCTCCCCTTCCGCTTGTTTCTACTGTTTCTGCTTTGTCGTATCCTGTATCGTCTGTCGCTACTGTCAAGTCCCCTTTACCCCATCCTGTTTCGTCTGTCGCTACTGTTACACCCTCCGCTGCCCCCTCCCGTTTGTTTTCTACTGTACATACTTTGTCTGTGCTTCCTACTGTTGCCGGTGCTAGAGCTGCTGAACCTAACAATGAAGTTCCATTTGTTTACAATGTTCCTGAGGCTGTACGCCTGCCTGGCTCTGACCCTAAGCTCACGTCCGATGAACGTGAGCTTCTGTTGATCCACCTGCGACTTGGGCATGTTAGCCTTCGTGTCATTCGTCGAATGATCAAAAGTCAAGTGGGCCTTGGGTTGCCGGCTACCCTTCCTCCGGGCCAGATCCACTGCCCAACTTGTATGATTGCCAAAAGTGTCCACAAGAACTCTTTATCCTCTACTCAGCGGACTTTTCTTCCTATGGATCTGTGGAATGTTGACCTTATTGGCCCTTTTGAAGTAGAAGCGACTGGGGGGGGAAAGTACATCCTGACCATCCGTGACATTGGGTCAGGGTATGGGGAAATCAAGATTCTACAGCTTAAATCTGAGGCCACAAGATTCCTCATCGATGCGATTACGTGTCTGGAGCGGCAAACGGGCAAACCCCTGAAGGCTATCCGATCCGATAACGGCGGGGAGTTCAACAATCACACTCTTGCCGACTATCTACGACAAAAAGGGATTAGGACTGAGCGTGCAATCGCTTACCATCATTATCAAAACGGTTTGGTTGAACGGTACAATCGGACCCTCCAAGACATGGGCCGCACGTTATTGCTTGGGAGCGGTTTACCCAAATCCTTCTGGTCATTTTCCTTCACCTGGGCGTGCTATGTCCTGAACAGGATTCCGAATGGGAGCAGTGGGGACATTACGCCATATGAAAGGTTCTTTGGGATCAAGCCTAGTTTCGAGTTGACCCGTGTGTTTGGGGATCAAGCTTATGTACATATCGACGCGGAGAAGCGAAAAAAACTGGATGAGCGAGCTTCCCCTGGTTACGTCGTGGCCATGCTCCCTGAATCTAAGGGTTGGTGTTTCTGGATGCCCCATTTGAATGGTTTCGTCAACTCCAACATAGCCACTTTTCGCCATCATCCGAATCCTTCCCATATTTCTTCCCCCCATTTCTCCCTTGCCGACATGTCTCTGCCAAGCATTGGAGATTTCCGTGACGAATTAATAGCCAATGAGCAAGACAGGATGGTTGAGTTGGTTGCTTCATCCGTACCAGAATTTTACGCGTCTGGCGTCCCGACCACGTATAGGCAGGCGATGAGGAGCCCGGATAAAGATTCCTGGCTCGCTGCGGTTAGAGAAGAACTTGCGAACTTGGACAGACTGGGTGTGTGGGAGGTCTTGCCGGTCCCGCCTGGAACAAAAGTAATGTCTGCTAAATGGGTCTTTGCTAAGAAATGCAAACCCGACGGGACCATCGACCGATTCAAGGCTCGTTACGTTGCCCGTGGATACTCTCAAATTGCGGGCATTCAATATAGTGAGACTTTTGCCCCCACTGCTACTTTCATATCTATGCGGTTGTTACTGTCTTTTGCGGCAGCCAACAACTGGCCAGTACATTCTTTTGATTTCGTGGCCGCTTATTTGAATTCCCCCATAGATGAGGACCTCTGGGTCACTCCGCCTGAAGCGTTAAACTCTCCGGCAGGTACGGCTTGCCATCTGAAGAAAGCCCTTTACGGAACGAAGCAAGCCGCCCGTTGCTGGTGGTTTCATCTGGCGAGTACACTGTCCAGCCTCGGATACAAAGCCTCGAGGTACGATTCCAGCCTATACTTGCTGGAGCCTAGGGATGGAGGGGGGTCGATTTGGGTTCATGTAGACGACGGCATTGTTACTGGCCCCACCGAACAAGTTTTGAAGAAGTTACAAGAGGATTTGTCAGCCGTTCTGCAAATCAAATGGGAGACCTCACTTACTGATATCGTGGGCCTATCTGTGACCAGGAACAAGTCGGGTTTTGTTTTGTCTCAACCAAAACTGATTAGCAAGATCCTGGCCGAACACTGGGATGGTGTCTTGACCAGCAGGACCCCATTGCCTACCGGAAATTTGCCCACTACTTCTGGAGATGAAACAGGTATTGACTCCTCCGGATACCTTTCCCTGGTCGGAATGTTGAGCTATTTGGCTGTTGGGACCCGACCTGACATCTGCTTTTCTGTCAATTTCTTGGCTCGATTCTCCAAGCACCCTACTTCTGCGCACTGGGCTGGTGCGAAGACTTTGGTGAATTACCTGGCGAGGACAAAAGACCAACCACTGCTACTGTACCCGAAGACCGCAAACCCTCATCTTTTGTCTTACGTTGATGCGAACTGGGGGGGTGAGTTCTCCCGTTCTACTTATGGCTTGATCATATTCCACCTAGGCTGTCCTATTGCCTGGATATCTAAAAGGCTAGCCACCGTTGCTGCATCCACGGCCCATGCTGAATACATGGCATTGGGCCATTGTACACGACAAGTCTTATGGATCTGTAACTTACTGTATGATATTTATGGCGCTTGGTTTGTCGGGAAAATTTTGTGCGACAATCAAGCAACAGTCAAGATCTCATCCAACGATACTTCCAACAAACGAGTTCGGCATACAGATCGAGAATTTTACATCACCAATCAGGCCTTTAAAGAAAATCAAATTTCTGTGGAATGGGTTTCTACAAAGAATCAGTATGCGGATATTTTTACCAAGAACCTTAGTGCACCGATCCACCAAATACAGCAGGCGATTGTGCAAGGAGTTTCGTCGAGTGGGGGGGTGTTGTAGCGAAATACATAATATTTAGTAAAACATTATGTATCACTACAGTAGACGTCATGAATTACATTCACAACCGTCTCGACGAATCATCTTTCTTTTTCATCATCTCTTCTCACGATGTTTTCTTTACATAATCATGTAGTATAAATAAGCTTGTATTTCACTACAAGATTATGTTTTTCCTTATGCAATCTAGTTTCCTAGCTTTTCTCATCCTTCATTACCTACTCGTGCCTCTTTAGACCGCAGACATCTCGCCCACCTTAAAAGGTTAAGAGAACCTATTTATGTATCCCCGGCAAGCGGGTCAAGCTCGCCGGGGGAGAATTAGCAGCGGGGGGGGGTTGTATTTCAATTTGTGTAATTTCAAAATTCAGGGATGATGACGATGACGATGATGATGATGGGCCTGGCCGACGCCGGTGTCGGTGGTGACTGACGACGGAGATTTATGTAAACTTAAAGGGCGTGAATTAAGGTTTGATTTGGAAGTTGTAAACTTTAATTTTACAGGTTTCAGCGAAGAAGCAAGTCTGTAGAAGGTTTGCAGACTTGGGTTGACTGGAAAGCCTTACTCAGCCTCCGATCGACCAGAAACACCACAAACACACACTCTGAAAGCTTGGACACTCCGAAAACAAACAGCAAACGACTGCATTCAGAAAGCAACAAGATAAAAACAAACAAAAAACAAGCAAACAAGCAAACGCAAAGAGAAAGCAAAAACAAGAACACGGACAAGAACGGAGGAACAAGCGAGGGCTTTGGATGACATCGAAAGTCAACAACAGGACGACCAAAAGCGACCCTCTCTCAAATGACTGGTTCACTCGCACTCTAAAGAAAAACTAATAAACAAACAAATCACTCCCACCACCACTCCCACAAGAACAAGAAAACTTTGTCACCTGCCCTCAGCCTCCAAGCCGCAACAATGCCTCTCAGGTTGGTTGGCCAACCATTGCTCTACACTATCTCAATCTTCGCCAGTCTTGGAGTCTTCCTGGTAAGAGCAAAACTCCACTCTCTAGAACCTGTCAACCGCTTTTTCAGCTAGCTCACTTGAGCTCACACGTTTTTTTTTTTAAATAATTTCTCTAGTTTGGATATGACCAAGGTTGGAGGAATTGAAATTCTCACATCGATAGCAGTCACATGGAAGGAAAGAAAAAAAAACTGACTGAGATGCGTTTGGATCTTGGGCTCCTCCCTCTAGGTGTTATGTCAGGTATCATCACCGGCCCATACTTCAAGGCCTTCTTCCATCAGCCCACTCGATATGAACTTGGAACCATGGTAGCCATCCTGGAGATCGGAGCATTCAGTTCAGTCCTCTCTCCCAATATCTCCCAACCAGCAGCCCAACTGCAATCCAGAATGAATTAAACTAACCATCTCCACGATCCTCTGTCATGTGCTTGTGTCCAGTTACCTCGATTATTGCAGGCCGGATCGGCGATATCTTCGGTAGACGAAAGACCCTCTTCATCGGTGCCTTGGTCTTCACCATCGGCGGACTCTGTCAATCGCTTTGCTCCGGATTCACCTCTATGGTCTTCGGTCGAGTCATCTCCGGTTTCGGCGTCGGCTTTCTATCGTAAGCCGTCTTCCATCAATTCCTGGCTATCCTATACAGATCTGGTTGTCCTAGTTAAACCATGCTCTTCCTTTATCATTGGCTTTCTCTTCCCTCAGTACAATTGTTCCGATTTATCAGTCCGAAATCTCACCCGCAGATCACGTATGTCCCACTTCCTTTTTTTTTATAAAATAATCTCAGGCTTATAATTTGATCGATTTTCACTATCTTCGCACCACTGGCAGCGAGGAAAACTAGCATGCATGGAATTTACGGGCAACGTATTTGGCTATGCGGCCTCGGTATGGCTGGACTATTTCTCGTCGTTTATCGAGTCGGACTGGTCGTGGCGGTTCCCGTTATTTTTCCAATGTGTGATCGGGACGATCCTGATGATCGGCTCCCTGTTGATCCCTGAAAGCCCGCGATGGCTCTTAGATACCGACCAAGATCGGGCCGGGATGAGGGTGCTTGTGGACTTGCATGGCGGCAATCCGCGGGACGAGAAGGCTCGTCAGGAGTATACTGAGATCAAGGAGGCTGTCCTCGACGATCGTCTCGCTCCTGACCGTTCCTATCTCGCTATGTGGACTAGGTATCGTGGTAGAGTCTTGCTGGCTATGTCCGCCCAAGCATTTGCACAACTCGTAAGACTTTTGACCGTCTGATATAACAAATCCTTTTCGTCGAGCATTCCTTCATTAACGCTTCATGTCTATTTACCCCTTTATTTTCTAAAAGAATGGAATCAATGTGATAGGATACTGTATGTTTTTTTTTGTTCTCTTTTATTTCAACCTGATGATGCACGTATATACCGAAAGCTAACAACTTGTCTTCTCACCTCAGATGCTCCGTTGATTTTTGAATCTGCTGGATGGATCGGTCGGGATGCGATATTGATGACCGGTATCAATGGGACGGTTTATGTATTCAGCACAATTCCAACGTAGGTGTTGTTGTTGTTTTCATGCTTCTTCCAAGTGTTTGGGTACCCCTATTGATTTCGATCGTCTTCCATCAATGTATCTCTTTAGATGGTATCTGGTGGATGTGTGGGGTCGTCGGTTCATCTTGCTCTCGGGCTCGGTCGTCATGGCTTTATCGTTAACTTTTATGGGTTGGTTCCTGTATTTGGACACCACTTACACACCCTTGTCGGTTGTGGTTTGTGTGTTGATCTACAATGCGTTCGTTAATTATTTCTCTTATCTCTGACTCTTATGCCCAACCAAAAGAAAGCGAGTTTCTTCCAAATTGCAGATGAAAGCTAATACAAATCTTTTTCATGGATGTGTTCAGGTTTTTCGGGTATTCGTGGGGGCCAATCCCTTGGCTATATCCTCCCGAGATCATGCCTCTACCCTTCCGTGTCAAGGGTGTCTCGATCAGTACGGCTACTAACTGGTTCTTCAACTACCTGGTCGGTGAGGCTACCCCAGTTCTTCAAGATGCGATTCGCTGGAGACTGTATCCTATGCACGCCTGTTTCTGTGTGATGAGCTTCATTCTCGGTACGTGTTTCTTGAAGCATCTTCTTGAGTTGAGTGGGTCAGAATTCACTTTGGCTCAACGGAATGATTTGGTCTTGGATTATCCTTAGTATATTTTGCATACCCTGAAACCTGCGGGATTCCACTGGAGGACATGGATGAATTGTTCGGAGATGTAGGACTAGAGGATCATGAGAATCAATCGCTAGTCAATTCCGAGCGTTCCTCGATCCAACGAGCCTTGGAGCCTCCCGATCTAACTGCTCAAAGCCTTGACGATCATCGTCATCAAGATGATCATAACATCGGCAAATCATTTCATTCCAGTTGGTTTGATCGGATCACGGGCTTTAGGAAAAACCCCTCTCGGTCTAATCTTGGTTATCAGACTGCCGCCCCTGATGATCATTAGAAGAAATTGTCCCTCGTCTTATTAAACCTCTTTAAACCTCATCGATCTCTTTCCATCTTACTTTCTTATCCACTTCTTTTCAACTTCACTTGATAAAATCAGACCCGCGCTTCTGGATTCCTTTTCTCCATTTTCATATACTCATTCATTCATCTAATCCTTCGATCCAAGAGTTTTCCTCTTTTTTTTTTTTTTGGCGACACACATTTGGTTATTCTTACTTTTGTCAAACAATCAACAAGCAGATTTTCTTACATATGCGTCTTTTTGTTTCTTCCAAAATAAATTCTTCTCCCTCCCTCCCTTTCTCCACAAGAAGATTGCTCTTTTTGATCCCTCACCATCTCCCTCTCTCTCCCTCTCTCTCTTTATGTAGTTCTTTATGTTGTTATTGGAAGCTTTTATCGCGGTGGTTGGTGGTGGTTGAGTTAGACCTGCTCGCAGGGGCTTTTTTTCCCCTCTGTAGTGAATTGTTGTTTGTTGTATGTATGACGGTGTTTTCGGCCCTTGGTGGGGAGAGATCATGATGTGTTGTTGGTGCTATATATTACTATATGAAAAAAAGAATATCGTCGTTTTACTTTACTTTTTTTTTGTCATGACCATACATCTATTTTTTTGTTGTGTGTTTTTTTTTTCTTCTACATTGGTTTTCATTCGATCCCAATTGATCTCCGTCCTTTCCTTTCTTTTTCGACCTGCTCTTTATCCTTTTTTTTTTTTTCTTTTTTTTTTTTTGAGTTTTTAGCTTAGATTTTTTTATTTATTTTCTTTCTTTCTTTCTGATATAAGAAAACAATGGTTAAACACAAAGGGAACTTAAAAACCCCATTGGTCATCCTCTGTTTGTAACAAAAATTATAGTCACAAATAGAAATTGAATTCATACGGGATTTAACTCTTCATTAATATCAACCACCAGAACTGAACTTCAATAAAAATACTTCAATCCATAATTTAAGACTGAGAGAGGTCTAAAAAGTGCTCTAAATCGCGACGGGAAGTCCTCTAATTGTCATCCAGATTTACCAAATATGACATTTTTTTTTTGAAAAAAATGAAGTGCTCTTGATTTCACATGCCGCACTATCTACCTGTGCCTGCAAGCTGCTGGTTGAGGCCGATTCCTCCCCGGGCTCCGGCAAGCAGCGACGAGGTGTACCTGTTTGTCGGGGGTTGTTTCTCCTCCCAGGCGAACCGCTACGGCGTGCACACCTGCTCGCTGGTCGTCGAGGAGGGATTCTACGTTCATAACACCGGTGGGCGATGAAATGTTTTTGAACCGGGAGGGGATAAGCGTATGGGATGTCCAGCTCTGGTCTATGGATGGACAGAAGCCGCATCATCCTTCGATCGGCTGGCCTGCTCCATCGGGGTCGGAATCACCGGTCCGGCACTGCTTGATCATTAGCGTTTCATCTTCCAAGTGAAAATATGCACGGCTCCCAGGAGCTCTCAGGCAGGCGAACTTCTCGTCGCTCATTTTCGTGATATGTAAATAAATACATAGGATTTCGGTCGTATCGTTGCGAAGGAGTGTTCCTTCTCTCTAGTCTCACATGTATGATGCTGACGCTCCAGTTCCTCACTATCGTCCTGGTCTACGGGACTATGGTGCGTAGATCAGCTGCCTAGTGTGTGGGGCGCAAGCCTCACCTTTGCCAACACCTCGGTGCAGACGGACCTTGTCCTTTCCAGCTGGATGGGGGCTCCAATCCGACCTTCAAGAATATAAAATGAGCCTCATTCACCGATGGCCTTCATCCTCATCCCACTCATCAGTTCACCTGCCCTCAGCATTTGACTATATAGCCTTCCACCGATTTCTCAGCCTCCATAAATACTTGTAGAACTCCTACTCCTTTATTTCCACCACTCACAAAATGGTTTCGTTAGCCTACTTGATCACCCTTCTGTCTCTCCTCGTCGCCGTTTCTCGCGCAGAGGAAGTGGCTGCCGGCAAGACTGAAGACGTGGACCCCAAATACTGGGGATACGGAAGGAGATACGGTTCGTTCTACAACAGCTTCGGAAACTGTTACTCGTGGGGATGCGGCTTCACAAGCGGCTTGATGCTCAACTCATGGGGCGTCCCATGGATCAACAATGTGTTCAACACTTACAACTGCTATGGAGGTGGCTGGCTCCTCCGCGGACCTGGCATGTACTTCGTCAAGGCCACTGAGGAGGCTCACAGTGTCGCCCGACGAGCTCTCCCCGTTAGTGCTGAACAACTTGTCCGACGAGAGGCCGGAGTAACTTGCATTAGCAACAAGGGAGTTTCTAGCACTTTCTCTCCCAGTGAATGTATTAAGTGAGTGATATTACTTCTGTTGCTTTATGTCACTACAAGCGCTCGCTGATCAAAGCTTTTCTTCTCCTCTCAGGGCTGCTCATGAGTTGGCCGAGAAGAAGACCAGCAGCGCTACCCACGGAAGCTGCACCTTGACTCTTGTTACCAAGAATGACAAAGTCGCCCCAAGTCAATCGTAAGTAGTCCGACTTAATCAACTTGATGCTGATCATAACGCGAGAAGTCTTACCGTCCGATCTGCATTATGCTCCACAGCTCGAGCCAAATCCTTGAGAAGGCCGTAAACAGTATTTTGGGTGCTTGCGGGAAAACCTCCGAGGTGAGTTGCTTTTTGTTTTTGGAAATGCTTGCTTTGCTCCACAGTGTTCATGAGATTGAATGTGTTTGTCCCGTTTCCACCAGACCCAGAGCCAGAACAAGAACGCTCGCCGCGCTGCCGCCGCTGGTCAAGAAGACGACACCCGGGTTGCCCTCCTCCTTTCCAAGCCCAACTGATCTCCTTGTACTCGCAGCAAGAAGCATTCATTCAACTGTGTTCATTCTATATATCAGCTCTTCCTTTACTTATTTCTCTCTCTCTCGGGTCATCATTGTATCTAATGCTATCGTTATATAAAGTGTAACTGCAGTGGTTTCATTTTCAATGCAATGGGTTTCTTTCATCTCAAACTTCTTTTCTCCGTCAGTGAGATAGTGCGTGCTTGTGAGAGCTATGAGGGGACCTGGGGATAGTCTCACAATTCAGTTGCGGATTTCCAGTTCTCCGTTTCTTTCAGCTTGAAGGATTATCATTGAAAAATGGAAAACATCACGCTGATGTTGTCCTTTGTAAACCAAACATGAGACTCGGATGGTTGCGGCAATCCTGATCAGTTGCAGACATATAGTAAATTGATGGTCTATTTATAACGAAATTGCTTGGAATCTTGACAAAGCAAAAAATCTGCAGAATTGATTTTTAAGCTGGTGGATATGAGCCACCTTGTCTTTGCAAGCTCCACCATCTTTCCAAAGTGGAGAAAAATCAAATCACGGTTGAAGAGAAACTAAGACTAATATTTATTGTTTAACTATAAGGTTCAGGGAAAGAGATGAACTTGAGGAGGCTTCTCATCAAGTAATGTGTGTTTAGGAAAATTTTTGTAAAAGGCAAACCAGAAGAAAGATGTTTTGAAAACTGGTCTTGGATTATTCCAGCATCAGCAGCACTGGTTGAGACCACCTGAACTATTCATAATCTAGTAGATTAATCTCTACTCATTTCAAACCCAGATAAGCAGTTCAATTTGTCTTTCAAAGACTAGTTTGTGTAAATGATTCGGAGGGATTGGATCAAAAAGAAAAGCCCTCTTATTCCGCCCAGCAAAATGTGATTACATCATCATCTTCCCTCTTCCATATTCCCTCAAGGTCCCTTGCCTTTATAAATCCATCACAAGTTAACAATGATAAAAAGTCAAGAATTCCTGAATCCTTGGATCTTTTTTGGAAGTAAACCTATGGTCAGCAAAGTTTATAAGCAAGTAGCAATTTTCTATTCCATTCAAAGATCTCTAAATCCCTCGAGATTCCATGCCCAAGATCAGATTTTACTTACTACATACTCTTCTCATGACAAAATGTAGCGAGTTGGTTGGATCTAGTAGCTCTTACTCTACAATTGTTTCACTGCCAGCAAATGATCTTTGAGCAATTACATGTTTTTAATAAGTTTGAATGAACTGACTCGTTCAAATTCTCCTGCCAATTTTTTCTTCTTCTCAAAGATGTCTCCCCACAACTGACCAGAGATACCCAATGTTGGTTCTATGCAATTCAAATGGTGGTTGTATGACATGCATGGCTTAAATGGATGATTACGAATGACAGCAAGCAATTTCATGAGTGGGTACTTAGTTTACAGCTGATTAAGGATGATATGAAAAAGTGCCCTCCAAAATTGCTTCGTGACCAACCAATTTTTTTTAAGATTGCAGTGATTTGGAGTGCTCTGGCCTGAACCCTTGAGGGTGTGATTTTTTATAGATTTCAACCTGCATGGGTTTTCATCCAGTTGATGCGTAATGAACATCAGATGTAGTACAAATTGTTGTAATTTCGAGAGCCAAAGCGGGATTGTCCACCTCGACTGATTTGCTCCACCAGCAGGAATGATTTGAAGCGACCAGAAAAGAGTTGTTTAACCTTGACGCTAAAGCGCACACAAACAATGATCAATAAACCAACAAGATGGTCAGTATTGTTCTATGGGACAAGCCTATAAATCTGAGCATATAAGTGAATAGACTCAACCTGTTTATGCCTTGGATTCTTGGAGCAGATCACATAAACTCTTCCCTTCCTTTTGACGACCGAGCAGCCATCGCAGATCTTCTTGACACTTGATCGAACTTTCATCCCTCTGATAATGTTAATGGTCGCATTCGTTAGGGAGTGGTTGTTATCCGAAAGGAGGGGATGATGGTAGGGTTGTTGAGAGAGGACGGGGAATGATGATCTGAGAAGTGAGACTCGATTTAGAGCTGGTCGGAGAAGGCTGCTGAATCGGAAAGCTGCCGAGGTCATCGTGTGTTTGGCAAGTCAAGCTCGGTTGGGTTGTCCTGTGTCGGAGCAGTGGATCAATGCGTTGATTGTTGCTTGGATTTGTTCCTGGGGGGTTTACATCGCTGGAGGGGCTTACACACCCGAGCAATGAGGTCCAGGGAGCAGGGCGGACCCCCCCCCACCCCCCGCGGTGCGCACCGCTGGGCAAACGCGTCAGCCATTCGATCGATCTGGAGCGGCCGCTCGTCCAGCTGACGTCAGTTGATGACCTCAGCTTTAATCGGACTCATCATCGCCCTTCCACCAGCACGACACCCAACCATCGAAAACCTACCAACAATCAGAAAATACCTTCAACTCCGACTACTTGAGAACTCATCATGGCTGCTGTCACTTCTGCCTCAGGTGAGTGGACTGATCGAACACCATCCATCCGAACGAGCCACTGAAACTGACTCGTTGCTTCTTCTCCTTTGGATGCTTGTTGGTCTCAGGTATCTTGACCTTGCTGGATGAAGAAGAAATCCAGCTCAAGACCTATGCACTCGAACAGCTGGACAAATTGGTCTACGAATTCTGGGCTGAAGTGGCTGATGGAATCTCGAAGATGTAAGCCTGTTTTTGTCTATGATGGCTCTCACCAACAACTTGGCAAAGTGTTTTTTTGTATATCTAACTTTTCCAAACTGTATGCCCCTCTTATCACCACATCAAAAATTATCGAATTCAAGTGAGGTCATGTATGAAGATGAATCCTTACCTGCTACCACAAGATCTCTGGCTGCCTTGGTTGCCTCCAAAGTCTATTATCATCTCGGAGACATCAATGAATCTTTACAGTTTGCACTCGGAGCCGGTGACAGGTTTGATGTCGAAAGGGTGGGCACTCTTGGTACCGACGGGGAGTTCGTAGAGACTGTTGTTTGTAAGCCTGCCTCACTCCATTCTCTTTTGCACCTTCTCACTCAGCGCTGATATAACTTGTTAAATTACAGCCGAATGTATTGATGCCTATGTGGCCCTCTTTACTTCCCACGAGAGTACAAGCTCCCCCTCCGACCCGCTACCCCCGATCCAAGTCGATAAACGAATGTCCAGCATCGTCGAGAGGATGTTCACTCGATGTGTCAATGCAGGAGAGTACCGCCAGGCGCTCGGAATCGCACTCGAAAGCCGTCGATTGGATATCATCGAATCAATCGCCTCCCGTCACAATTCCAAAGAGAACGACCTGCTTGGGTATCTCTTAGAAGCTAGTCTCACCTCCATCACTCGCATCTCATTCCGCAACGATCTCCTCCGACTCTTGGTTCGTCTCCTCGGCTCTCAAGAGAGTGGACCTGACTACTTCAGTATCACTCAGTGCTATGTTTATCTTGACGACCCTCAACCAGCCAGCGAGCTCCTCAACCAGTTGCTCTCTGATGAAAAACAATCCGAGAAACTCTTAATTGCACTACAGATCTGCTTCGATCTTGCAGAAACGGCTACTCAAGAGTTTCTGGAGGTCATCAGGACCAAGTTGGTCGGAGCTCCTCAGCAAAATTCAAGCACCAAAACAGAAGGAGATATGGCGGTAGATGCTGGGGAAGCATCCACTCAGGTGAGCAACTTTAATACAGAGGAGTATTCCTGCGACTTTCTAACACCTATGATCCTTTACTATCACCCAGCCTGCTGCCAATTCTCACATTGAGCAAGCCCGCCGCATTTTAAGTGGCGAGGAAACTATCAAGCTTTATCTCGAATTTCTTTACCGAAACAATCACGCCGACCTCCTCATCCTCAAGCAGACTAAAGACGCGCTTGACGCCCGTAGCTCACTTTACCACAATGCCGTTAGCTTTGCAAATGCATTTGCGAATGCCGGGACAACCTCAGACAAATTCCTTCGCGACAACTTGGACTGGTTGAGCAAAGCAAGCAATTGGAGCAAGTTTTCTGCCACCGCCGGTCTCGGTGTTATCCATCGGGGCAATCTCACCCAGGGCATGGAAATCTTACAGCCTTACTTACCTTCGCAGCAAGGCGCACCAGGCTCAAGCTTTTATTCTGAGGGCGGTAGTCTGTTTGCTCTTGGCCTGATCAATGCTAACCATGGTGGAGGCACTGTGTTGGAATACATCAGCAACGTAATGAAAAACACCAGTAGTGATATTATTGAGCATGGAGCCGCACTTGGACTTGGTGTTGCTGGAATGTCGTCCGGTAACGAAGGTGAGCCAGTCCCCTTGATCGTTCCATCTCGAATAATTTCCAAAAACGTCATACTGAATTATCTACCAAATTACCGATGCGCGTGTTAACCTTTGCGCACAGAGATCTACGATGATCTCCGAGATGTTTTATATCATGATTCTGCAATTGCTGGTGAAGCCGCTGGATACGCGATGGGTCTTTTGATGCTGGGTAGTGGTTCATCCAAAGCTTTGGATGAGATGTTGCAGTATGCTCACGAAACTCAACACGAAAAGATCATCCGTGGCTTGGCTGTTGGGATTAGTCTGTTATTCTATGGGAAAGAGCAAGCTGCAGACGGGATAATCGAAATATTAACTGCTGATAAGGTATGTTTCCCGCTGATATATTTTCCGCCTTGACATATCTCACCTTGTTTTATCTCCTCGACAGGATCCCATTCTCCGGTATGGCGGTATTTATACAATTGCGATGGCCTACGCCGGCACTGGGAACAACAAGGCGATTAGACGTCTGCTGCATGTCGCAGTATCAGACGTCAACGATGACGTCAGAAGGGCCGCTGTCACTTCTCTTGGATTCTTACTTTTCCGAAACCCCAGCCAAGTCCCTCGAGTAGTCCAACTCCTGAGTGAAAGCTACAATCCCAACGTACGTTATGGCGCCGCACTTGCACTTGGGATCGCATGTGCCGGCACTGGAATGGAGGAAGCCATCAGTTTGCTGGAGCCGATGACTAAGGACACCGTCGATTACGTAAAACAAGGGGCCTGCATTGCCCTCGCAATGATCCTTATCCAACAAAATGAGGTACTCAATCCCAAAGCTTCCGTGGTTCGAAAAATCTTTGAAAAGATTATATCAGATAAACACGAGGACGCAATGGCTAAGTTTGGTGCAACATTGGCTCAAGGTATCATCGATGCTGGTGGTCGCAATGTGACTGTATCCATGAGAAGTAAAAATGGAAGCAATAACATGACGGCAATCGTGGGGATGGCACTGTTCAATCAATTCTGGTACTGGTTTCCCATGGCCCATTCATTGGCGTTGGCATTCACACCGACTGCCATAATTGGAGTTGATCAAAATCTACAGGTGAGCAGCGTTTTTAAAGTACATCTCAGACCTGAAGATTGTGGACTGATCGAGTTGCTTGAATGTTTCAGATGCCCAAATTCGAATTTCATTCAAACGCTCGCCCATCACTGTTCGCCTATCAACCTGCAACTGCTCCCCCTACTGCAGAAAAAGTCGAAAAAGTTGCGACGGCCGTTTTGTCGACTACTGCTAAAGTAAAAGCACGAGAGAAAACCAAAAAAGAAAGATTGACTACAGAGGATATGGAAGTCGTAAGTGCCGGTTTTCCTCTCCAGTTTTATCAACTTTGAACTAATCAATTGTGAGCCGAACCCACATCGAATTTAGACTCCGGCACCTGAAAGTCCAACCGCACTTCACGCAAGTGATGCAATGAAGATTGACGATGGACCGGGGTCAGACTCCACGAAAACGGGCATGGATGGATCGAAAACAGAAAACGGAGTGACCAAATCGTCGAAACGGAGAAAAGACGATGGATCGCTGGACAAGCTGTCGAATCTCTCAAGAGTTACCGCGACTCAACTGCCTTACATTACCTTCCCCGACGACTCACGATACGTGCCGGTGAGACCTTTGCTGGCATCTTCGGCGGCCCAAAAGAGCCACCAGAAGTTAGGCTTGACCGGCACCTCTACCAGCGTAGCCCATGCGATCCTAAGCCAAGCTGACTCTATTGCGACCGGTGCTGGAGGCGGGATCTTGATAATGAGAGACCGTAAACCAGATGAGCCGGCAGAATTTTTGGAAATGAGCTCGTTGAAGAATATTGCCGCCAATGCTGGTACAGCTGCCGCTGATCCAGCCGGTTCAAATAATAACACTGCTGCTGGTGGCTCGGCTGATCCCGATCGAGCTTTGTTAGACGGTCCTATCGCCGACTTGCCTCCTTCATTTGAATACAACTTCGATTCGTAAACCTTATAATCCTGTTTTTTTTCATTTGATTTGTTAGCCTTAAATATGCTTATCCTTTTTTCTTAGCAAGACAAAAAAAGTGGCTTCCTTTTTTAATGCATTGTTATATTTTTGTTTTCTTCAGTTTTCTTCAGGTACGTGTGGTGTACATAGTAACCAGAACAAAAAAAAGGTTATGTGTGGAGAAAATTGACTGAATGACTTTTGGATGAACAGAGATTCCTTAAGAAATTCAACTGTCCTGCTTACCCAGTACCCATCAGTAGATGACATAATTTATATTCATTACAGTTTTTGCTATGATGAAAGAAATGAAACAGAGGAGGATGTTGAGCAAAGATCCAAGTCACAATGCCTATGCATATATGTCCAACTGTTTGGGTAATGGTCTGGACTGAAAAGCATCCATTTTTGTTAACAGATCAGCACTTCTACCCTTCAATGTAATTATCATCTCACATTATGGAATAATGAGAAAGCTCATAAAAGCAATGAGTTTATTCAAATTTATTTGTTTATGTTTTTTACTTTCTCTGTACTAACTATTGAATAGGACACAAACATCAATATGCTCATTGAGATATTGATAACAATGTCCAAACAAAAGTATCATGCAATTCCTTTCCAAAAGGTAATTGTGATTTGTCTCATTTTGATTGTGATTTTCCCTGACCAAAAAATAACATCTTTGAATGGGGGACTTCTGTGATCAACATCTGTTATCCCCCCCCCCCCTGGAACATTTCAGACCCTTGGAAAGCTAGAGTAAATTTTCTGGTGAAAATGATGTAGACTTTTTTGGATCTAACTGAGCATCTGTAAGGGCTCCAGATAGTCCTCCAACGTGGTTGAAAATCACAAGGACAATTTTTAATTTTGGGAGTGGAAAAATCTTTGGATCTTTGGTTTTGCACAATATAATAATGTCCGAGCAGTAAAAGGAACTCAGCCGATAAAGAATGGGGTAAGTGAATTTTACAAACTATTTTTTACAAGACATATGTCTTGTAAACCGGATAGTTTGTAAAATTACATTTTTATGGGGGTTGTATAATTTTACAAACCATCATCCAAAAATATGGGTTGCAAAATATGTGCCTTAAAATTGCAACCCATGCCCCATGGAGTAGAATTTTAAGGCACATATGTTGCAACCCTTATGTCTTGCAAACAATATGATTTGCAAAAGTACATTTTTACCTTATTTCAAGGAATTTTGAAACCATTAGTTTGCAACCCATCTATGAGTTGTAAATTATGTTTTGCAAAACTGCACAACATGGTATGTAAAATTGAATTTTACAAACCATATTTTGCAACCCTTTCAAGCAATTTTGCAACCATTAGTTTGCAGCCCATCTATGAGTTGTAAATTATGTTTTGCAAAATTGCACAACATGGTATATAAAATTGAATTTTACAAACCATATTTTGCAACCCTCCAAAAAAAAAAAGAAAAAAAAGAGGGAGACACTATGGAATATGGAGGTACTGAACCGCCACTTTGACAAAAAAAAAAAGAAAAAAAGA